GAGAGTCAATTTCCGAGAAGATACGGGAGATAACAATAAGTCGGAAGAGAATTCATATATAGAATAATGCGATTTGCTTCACCTCCAAAATCGGGCGTCTCACTTTATCTGATCGATCGACTGTAGCCCACAGTGTTTTCAAGGACACCTGATGTGGACAAGCAGACGAAGCAGGGTTGCTGTAGCGCATGGCACAGTCCGCGGGACTTCCCGGTCGCTGACCTGACTCAGCAGCGGAGATTCCGACATGATATCGTGAACCTCGCCGGCGGCAGCACTCGGCATCGCGCAAACCTCGATGAGACAAAACGATGCTGAAGGCAGCAATAGAGCGGACTCTCCGCAGCCCGCCGAGCCGAGCAACGCTGCGAGCTGATCAGAAATACACTCACACGTAGCGATTCACGAGATGACTAGGATTTTACACGAGGAAGGAATCGATCACAGCGACTGCAACACTCACCCGATTTCGATGTAGAGCGGTCGATCGAAGGGTAACATCCTAACCTACAGTGTAGATACAGCAAAGCAAATTCATATCGGTGTTGAAGAGTATTATCGATCAAAGTGTCCAATGCTGGCTCGTTACATAGGGTGGCTCGCGACGCCGGGAGGGACGTTAGTTCAGCATGAATGATGGTAATGATTACAGGAAATGATGATGTTGTTTTTCCACCCCAATTTTCAAAATGGCCTTCAAAGTGATATGTCTTGGAAGGATTGACGGTACTCTAATCATTCCGAAGAGTGAGATGTGCTCCGACCTTTTTCCTGCCTCCTCCCAGAGGCGTCATCCGGCACAGCAATTATGACGAAAGACGTTCCCCATGGTCAAGCTCAGTTCAGATGATGAAGAGAAAGAGAAATGGTTTCTGTCATACGTCCAATCTATATGCCCAACGCCAAATGCGCGAAAAACAAACAAACTGATGCAAGTGAGAAAAAAGAAAACCCGTCACGTTGTCGGGCCGTGCTTATTGCCTCACATCTTTATTATCACTCATCGTCCTCATCACACCCTCGAAAGCCACCAACGCCATGGCATTCGCCGGGAACGCCCGCAGGAAGCACGGCACGAAACCTCGCCAATAGCCCTTCCACCCCCTCTCACGGTACACCGCGGCGGCGGCATCCCTCCATCGCGGGAACTTCTGCTCGCCGGGCGTGAGAGGGTCGGTCATGATGCGCTGCTTGATGACGTCCGAGGGATAGGCGGTCAGCCAGAAGACCTGGGCGGAGAGGCCGCCGGCCCAGAAATTGATGGCGGGCGCGCTGAGGGATGTGTTCTTCTCGAAGTACCGCGTGAAGAGGTCGTAGCTGCCCCACCAGAAGCAGAAGAAGGTGCGGAAGATCAGCGTGGCGCCGAGGCCGTGGAAGAGACCCGGGATGCCGTGCTGTCGGAACAGTTTCTGTGTGCAGTCGACGGGGCCGGAATATGGACGGGTCTTCTTGTCGGCTTGGTATTGGATTTGGAGACGTGCTTTGACGTGTTCCACGGGCGCGGCGACGAAGGATACGGTCCAGCCGGCGAGGACACCGGCCATGGCGTGGCCGATGGTGGGGAGTTTCTTCTTTTCCTCATCGTTCAGCCACACCGCGGGATGGTTGGGCTGAGCGCGCATAGGTTGGAAAACATGTTCATTGAGAAGCTTGCGGTAGAAGGTCAGCGAACCCAGCATGACGCTGTCCATACACGCCCATCCGACCAGCGGAGGAGTTGCTCCCTGATGAGAAATGTCAGCATTTGACTCATCGATGAGCATGCGATGGCAGGGAGCGCTACCTTGTAGATGCCATTGACACCTTCCTTGCGGAGTGTCTGCAGTAGACAGTCGAGCGGACCCTTGAACTGATCATGTGTTGAAGTTTGAAGTCGGACTTTGATCGTGTCGAAGGGATGTCTTTTTGCAAGGATTAGATATTGCTGTGCGAATCTCGATTTCCGCCCGTACAACTTACCCGACAGTCAATTTGGTGATGCCGGAAAACACGCCAGCAACGAAGCCTTTGTAGTTGGCATCTTTCGGAGCGGCAGCGATGACTTCGCGATCGCGATGCGGCGGCGTTGTGGTCTTCACGGCGTTGATCGCGGCATCGCTCACCTTTGCTGACATCGGATTGCGGAACGTGTGTGAATAGTTTCCTTGCTCCTCAGCATGCTTCTCATGCACAGGGTGGAGCGAGACTGATGGATAATTTAACGCAACCTCTTTTGTAAAGATGTGAGATTGATGAATTGAAGATAAATTACTGGATGATGGGTCCTGAAATGTGCATATCACTCGTACTGTACGACTGCAGATGGATGCATGCGCCGTACCGCAGATGGACGGAATTAAGGACCGCAATGCCCGTGGCTTTCGTTCGATGAGGGCTTGATTTCAGGATGACTGATGATGATGATCATGTCCTGCCTGCAATTCTTTGCTGCACCGGACTGTCCTGTACTGGACCGGACTGTACAGAAATGGAGTGGATCTAGACAGACACGGGCCCGGCCAGCTCGAGGATTGTCCAGTGAGAAAGCTGGCCGCTGACCGATGGCTCGTTTCTAAAGTTGTCCAGGCGTCGGTCATGACGTGCATGATCCGTCGATTTTCGTTGACCAGCAGCAGCACACGATGCAGCACACGATGCAGCACACGATGCAGCACAGAGACGATCTTTTTTTCACCACCACGGTGTTTCTGGACGCGAAAAGTCGCGTGGATATACATCTGGATGTGAAGCTGTCTGTCTACACGTGAAACCGGACATCGCGATGGTTTTTTCCTCATCACATTTTACAGCACAGCAAATGCCCCTCTTGAACCGTCATCTATCGGCAGCCGTTGTCCGTCGGCGGAAATGCTGTGCGCTCTTCTATTTGTAAAAAAGAGGCGCCGAACAGAAAGGTAAACAAACCACCAGAACGCCGGTTGAACATGACGACAATCAGTGCGAACTCTTGTTTCGGCTGGGATCGTGAACAGACACATTTCGAGAGCATTTGATCTGGGGGAGCTGCCCGCTGCGGTGTCGGAGAGAATAGCCGTGAATTCTTCGTCTGGTGGGCACATGCCCTCTTCTTGCTTGCTTGCTTGCTTGCTTGCGTGCGTGCTGCGCGGTGGTCGTGGTGACTGCTCGGTCTGAGACAGGCGCCGGCCTTGTCCACTAGAGCTCTCGGGAGCTGAAAATGCTGGGAGCCTTGGAGCTTATTGGAGTAGCATGCGCAGGTAGCATGGATCTGTAATCATGGAATCCAGCAGCACAGTGGCAGATCGATTGATCGGTCTGCTGTCCGTGGTGAGCTAGATACAATACATTACATATAGTCGGCCTTGTCATCAAACAACGAAGCTCTTCGGTTCCTGCACGAATTGAGCCAACTATTTACGATCACGTCTTTGCTCGCCTGTGGTAGCCGTCAGTTCTGCTTCCTTTATACATCACAGTGCATCAGTGTTTGTTCTTCGCCTTTCATATCATAGCAAATCAAGATGGCGTCGGACGGAGATGCTACCACCAAGCCCAAGGTGTGGACGACCTTGATCACCAACACCGCATACCTCTCCGGTCTCCTCACGCTGGATGCATCACTCAAGTTTGCAGGATCGAAATATCCTCTGGTCGCCTTGTACACCGACACCTTCCCAGCTGAGGGACATGCTGCGCTGGATGCCCGGAACATTCCCAAGAAGCGGGTCGAATACCTACTCCCCAAGATGCAGAAAGACTTCAGCAGCGACCCTCGCTTCTACGACTGCTGGTCTAAACTGACGCCCTTTAACCTGACCGAGTACGAACGTGTGGTGCAACTCGACAGCGACATGCTGGTCCTCCAGAACATGGACGAGCTCATGGATGTTCCTCTCGACCCGGCCTCCGCAGCCGGCACCGGCCCTCGCGTGTTTGCTGCCAGCCACGCATGCGTCTGCAACCCGCTCAAGAAACCTCACTACCCGGCCGACTGGACTCCCGCAAACTGCGCCTTCACCACCCAGCATGACACGCCGGACGCAGCACAGGAGAACGGCGCGCACTCGGCCACCGGTCTCGGCATGCCCAACGGCGGTCTACAAGTCGTCGTGCCCAGCGCGGCCGTATACGATCTGATCCTCGCACGTCTCCAGGACGAGACCATCATGCAGTACGACTTTGCCGACCAGAGTCTGCTCGGCGACGTCTTCCACGGCCGCTGGGTGGCGCTGCCGTACACGTACAACGCCCTCAAGACGCTGCGCTGGAAAGGCGTGCATGACCCCATCTGGCGCGACGAGCGGGTGAAGAATGTCCACTATATCCTCTCCCCAAAACCGTGGGATGAGTCTGAGGCGGATCGGAAGAAGGATGGTCGGGATGGCAGTCATCAGTGGTGGTGGGATTTCAACGATCGCCGGTTAGCGCAGGAGAAGGCTAAGGGAATTGAGGATGAGTTTTGATCACGGCCAGAATATTTGGATCTACATATGAGGGGTGTACTGTAGAAGGCACAGGAGTTGAGGGGTTCTGGTAACTGTAGCTCCGGCTTGGGTAGAGCGCCGAGTACCACGGACAGTAAATCTGAGTCAGATTCAATCCCTTTGAGCATGAGGCCTCTACAAGTCCCTGAACGGCATGCTCTATTCTCGAGGGCCACGGACCGCTCTCATCTTTGCACGAATTTATTGTGATATTGTCCCGGGCTCGTAGGTCGATTTGAGTAAGAGGAAGCATATCTGCCCTGCCAGCACATTGCGAAGTTTCTCCGCGCGCTGGAATGCATTCCTGTTCCTTTCCGATTTCGGTGCAACATGGCGCTCCAAATGATTTTCGAAATTACAGTGCCCTCGGAACCATTATCGCAGGTCCGTGTCTATTCGTGGCGATGTTGCAGTCACTGGCTTGGACGACTGATGTTGCCCGCGCCGATTCGGCCGCGAGTGCCTCACGATTGAGGGGAGGCATTAGGTAAAGATGTGATCCACCTTTATTTTTTGGTGGTCAGGGTCAGATCATCCTGGCGAATTCCAGAGCATTGCAGACAGGGCCCTGTTGTATGCACGACATGCACTACGTGAAACTACTGTCGGAGCAAGATAAGCTTCTTCGTCCTGTTGTAGTGATGAAAATGACCCCAGTGGGCTTCTGTGTACCCATATCCATCAATAATTGTATGAACAGGGGGGTTTTCAACAGGGTCTGAACCAAGAAACATCGACGTATTAGGTCTCCTCGTGGGAAATGACAACAAGTGCCACACCATCTGGGCAGCACAAGCAGTGTGTTCACTGTGGTATCCCTTAGGAGTTACATATGTGCTTGGAATGTTACATCTCCCGAGATATCGGTCAGGGCGGACAGCAATAAAGAAATTGCTCTTCATACCTGGGTACGTAATAATTCTCCGCGTGCTGTATTGGAAATTTCCCACGAGCCAAATTAATTGTGCATACCTAGGTACAGTAATAACGGAAACCTGACTCGCGTCGCTGTCGTTCCTCCTCCTATCTCCAGTCCAGTTCCAGTCCCAGTCCTAGTCCAGTCCAGCACGGCAGCCCTGAACCTCTCCACCCTGCGTCTTTTCCCAATCCCGAAACCCTTCTCCGCCCGGACCATCCTCATCGTCCTTATCGAAAGATCACTGCAATCCACCCATCACAATAACTCACACACCTTGGTTTTCATACCAAACCCCAGACACAGTATCATCGCCCCTACCGCCTTGACGCCACGAAGGACTTTCGCGCTGTCCTATACCCAGAACTCATAAAAAGGAGTATCTGTTGATACTACACCGCCGCAACAATGGGTGGCTCAATCTCTAAGATGATGAACAAGATCTTCGGATCAAAGGAAATGCGCCTGCTCATGTTGGGACTCGACGCTGCTGGCAAGACGAGTATGTCCGACGGCTCTGCGATAAATCGCGCATTTTCACTGACCACGCTCCTTTTTTTTCACAGCCATCCTCTACAAGCTTAAGCTCGACACCGATGTGACCACCATCCCGACCGTCGGATTCAACGTCGAGACCGTCACCTACAAGAACACCAAGTTCAACGTCTGGGATGTCGGTGGACAGGACAAGATTCGACCTCTCTGGCGCCACTATTTCTCCGGCACCCAGGGCCTCATCTTCGTGATTGACAGCAACGATCGCGACCGAATTGAGGAGGCGCGAAATGAGTTGGCTCGTATCATTCAGGATCGTGAAATGAAGGATGCTTTGTTGCTTGTGTTCGCCAACAAGCAGGATATCGCAGGAGGTGAGTGAATGAGTGAATGGTCGGGGACACGAGGGACAAGAGGCGGTGGAATTTGTGGTAGCCAGCGCCCTGAGTTTGATGGAACATTGTACTGACCTTGTCTTCACTTATTATAGCGATGAGACCCCAAGAAGTCTCCGATGCGCTGGACCTCTCACGGATAGCTAAGGACCACACCTGGAAGGTCGAACCCAGCTGTGCCACCACTGGTGAGGGTATCTTCGAGGGTCTCTCCTGGTTGAGCAGCAACGTCAAGATTCCCGCCAAGTGAGCATCGACGCCATGACCACTGACTCATTCCCGAACCGACTGCTGCTCCTACCTTGCGCCTTAACTCCCCTTTCAAGGAAGCGACTGCTCTGAGACTACCGTCATGAGCGTCTCATTCAACTGGCGCTCCGTCGGCGTAGCAAAGCGGTCGCCACGAGCGCGTGCCAGCCGGCGTCTCATCACGCCCCACCAACCACTTCAGTATCAGGATACCCCTCTGCAATTTTCTTCTTCTGCGTCGACTTGACGATCGCCTGGCGCGATTCTGATGGTCACTTTTGGCCCGACTACCCCTCTACTAATAATCTGCACCATGTTTTTTTGATCGTTCATGTTTCGAGCAGTGTCTATCGTGTCATGTCCTACCTGTCATTCGTCGGGCGGCTATGGCAGTTTCGTGCGCGCGCGGGCGCAGGCCAGGCAATTTCGGCGACCGCGACGCATCGACACGGGTTGCACGCGTCCGTGGCTTACGCTCGTCACGTATGCCCCGTCCGGCGATGCTGCAGGGAGAAGCCAGCCGTTCCAAGAGGCGAATCCTTCGAGATTCATGGCTTGAACTCTATGTCTGAAACTACTGTACCATAGGAGCGCACATACTTGAGTAGACGAGAAAATGAATCACTCTTCATCATTATGGCCCAGCGTGATAAGTTTGCACTTGATGTCCCTGGCGCAGCCGCCAGTGGCCACGCGAGTAATATCGCTGAGAGTGCTATGAAAGCGCATGTGTCCAAATTGCCGCTCGTCCTCACAACCCTGTGCACGTCATGGTTACAACACGGTTGGGGATCGTGCCTATCATTGAACGTCTACAATCCCGGTAAGAAACTAGCATTCAAAGCGAGCTCTTCCGCGCCTCTCCCTCCTCCAGCTGACAGAATGCTTTGAACGTCACCAGCGGCTCCGACCCGGTGCTCTCCACCACCAACTCCGCCGTCGCTCCCACAAAGAACACGAACCCTTCGCTGATCTCCTCCGTCTTCGGACCGACGCTGATACGACCACGGCCCTGAGTGCACAGCAGGATCGACGGGCCCTCGATGGGGTTGAAAGTGGCCTTGGCACCCTCGGCGTTGAGGTCGGTCTTGACGACGCTGAATTCGTCGATCGGTGGGTCGTAGAGCGTCGTGCCGGAGTGGCTGGTGTAGGCTTTCGTGTTGAGCTTCACGAAGGCGTAATCGCTCGGCGACATCTTCTGCTCGGAGATGGGCGCGTACGAGTAGGTTAAGGTGTCGGTTAAGGTGGCGACGTCTTTGAACTTCGGGGTGAAGCCGGCGCGGATGACGTTGTCGCTGGAGGCCATGCATTCGATGATTTCTGATCGGAACGATCAGTCATTGTCGCCTGTGACCTACATTCTTTGTTTTGGAGATCATGTTGAGATAAAAACGGTGTACTTACCACCAGAGAGATATGCGTGAATGTCATCGGCCTTCAAAAACATGGCCTCGCCGACCTCGAGCTTGACGTAGTTGAGGAAGAAAGTGACAAAGAGTCCAATGTCGTTTGGAAATTGTCCGTCGAGGCGGATCATCAAATCAGCGAGCTCCTGGCCGTCGTTTGAAGGACCGCCTTCGCCAGCGAATTTGGTGCCTTCTTCTTTCGCCTGCTTAATCAACGCAGGGGCGGCCTTGTCGATGTCTTCTTGTGAGGACTTCATCAGCGAGGTGAACGCACTCTGAAGTGCCTTCTTGTTTTCTTGTGTTTTGCCGGCATCTTCGGTTGTCTCCTGGCCCTGCACGGTTTGCTCAAATTTGCTGGCAGCCTCCTCGCCAACAAGCTGTCGTAGGGTTGGGACATTCTGCAAGAAGTGAACAATCTCGTTGAGAGGACGGAAACCACAAAGCCCATCGAACGGGGTGATTGCGATGGTCATCTCAGGCTTGTGGTTGTCATCGGGATAGTGCTTAGGATCTTTGGCATGTAGCTGCTCAGCCAGCTTCTTGTTCGGGTGTGCTTGGATCGACAACGCTTTGTTGATGCTCAACACCTTGAACAGGAAAGGGAGTCTCTGCTCGAAGCGCTTGGAAATAGATTCTGACAGCAATGCCTGGTTGTCTTGAACCAGGTCAAGTAGGGTGCGTCCAGTAGCGACATCCTTGGAAGGATTCGAGGGATGCGTTCCCATCCACAACTAGACATTGTCAGGATCCATAGTCCAGATGTCTGTAGCAATATTTGCACTGACCTCTGCGTATGGTTTGTCGTCTTGAATCGTAAAGTCGGAAGCTGTTGCGGCGGCGAATCGTGCAGCAGAAGATTTGCTGCCCACCTTGCCTGTTGATCGATTAATCTCACAAGCCCATTGATCCGCAAACGAGTTCCTCTCCTGTACTGACCCCATTCGTAGCTGTTGCATCCTTTACGTGACTGTCAGTATTGAGACCTACAGATATGTCACAGGCGTTTTGGCACTCGCTCACCGCATTGAAGACGCAGAAGTGGGACCTGCATTTTGAAAAGTCTTGGGTCGATCGGTCGAAATGCTGCGAAATGACAACCAGAATGGAGGATTTTACTGGCTATGAAGTGAGTTTGCGGATAAAGGCTGTTTTGTACAGCGATTGCTGGAGTCGAAGTGTTCTGCAAACTAAATCAGGTTTGTACGCCACGTAAAAGTACACAATTGTGAGCTTTTGGAGCAGACAACAACGATCAATGTCTTGACCAGCAATCTCCAGTCTCGAATGTCGCGTACTACTGCACGTCAAGGTGGACCCTTGAACAGCCCCTCATTGACGATGCTTAACTCGGCCCCGGGAGACAAAGGATCGGTGAACATTCCGCCGAAATACGACCAAATTCGCCGCCGCTGGCCGCTTGTCGCTGTTTTGCCCGCATGAACTCCGCCTTTTCGACCGCGCACGATGCATCAAGGCCGTTCATGATTTGCTTCATCGTGGTTCGCTTGTTCACGTCTCGTCCATTCTACCCCACAGGTGTATCGAGGTTTGTACTGCATAAAAGCCTGAAGTGGAATAATCACCAAATCACATGCCCGTCGGTAACGGAAGTGGCGCCGCTGATGGAATTCCATTCATTTTACTTGATGACAAGGGTAATTCATCGGTGGATTGCTGTACTGTACCAATCTTAGGCACAAGGTGTAGTGGTTACCCTATCATGGGCTGAGCATTGGAGGGTGATGGAGAACGATGTGAAGTGATATTGATGATAAAATATACAGTTGAATGATTAAATAACAATTTTGAAGCGCGCAAATCGAATGAACCTCATCATCGACCTGATGTAAATATCGACGAGCCAATATACCGTGCCAAGCATTCATCAGCCCTACTATCTCGGAACAACAACAACAATAATAAACACAATTATCTTGAATCTGCATGCACGTGAGCCTCATGGCCCGCATTGCATGAAGTGTTCCCAGGGCATGTCTCTGGCGCTTTCACTTGGTGCAAATTGGTCCCGTGGCAAGACGGAACGCATTCAACGTCTTTAGCTGCATCGATCGGCTGTTTGCGATTCTGCATCCCTAATTCTTAAGTGAATTCAGGGCATCAAGTTGAACGACTTCAATCGCCACAAAGCCTGCGGCCTTTGTCGCTCAGCCGTGCAAGCTTCCACCAAGCCTCAAGACTGTTCGAACCATGTCGGCGCGAAGCCGTGGAAGGGCCAATCCTAACCAGGACGCCGATGAGGAGCGGCGTCTGTGGAAGGAGATCAAGGACAAAGCCAGCGATGTCGACAGCATGTTTGTAAGTCATTTTCGAGCAGTTCGACTAGGCATTATCTCAGCGACCTCGTTGCATCATTCACTCTGTCAACATGACGAATTATGCTTTGTCCGACCCTATTGCGAGCTTGCATAGACCGCATGACATTCGGATTTTCGCAGCCTCGGGACAATTACTGATTGTCTGACAGTTACGCTCGAATGAGATAGGTGCCGAGATCCTAGAAGTGGAAAGCCAACAGGCAGCGCTCATAGAAGCCGGCAAACTCAGTGATATAGCTTTAGACGAGCGACTGGAAAAGCTCTATCGCGATAACGTCAAGCTCTGCGAAGACGTTCAGCATATCATTGAAGGCAAATCAAATGACACGAATCTGCTCGATAGCATCACCATTCTGGCCGGATTGCGGGAGGCCTCCGAAGAGTCCGCCGCACAGATGCAATCAAGTCAAGGACAGCGGATGGGAAACGGAAAACTCTCACGAGCGCCCAAGAAGGTTAACAACAAACCCGCCGCCGCTACTGTCGCCGTAGCGCTATCCACTGAAGATGGCGATGACGCGTCTGCAGCAGCATCGCCTCGGGTCAACCTTGGCAGCCAAGCGAATCGACTAGGCGTGAAGGATAAGACTTCTCGCTCTGGGAGTATCGCAACCACGCGGGAAGCGTCCGTGAAGATTGAAGATGGCGCCGAGTCGGTAGCGAGCAGTACCGATGGGGTTTCAGTAGCAGCCAGTTCGTCCAAAACCTCCCTGGGCAACCGCCCGTCTAACCGTCTCGTTCTGAGGCTTGGTGAAAAGGTCTTCTGTAGACACGATCCTAAGAGTTTCGACAGCAAGAAGAAAGAGCAACCCGAAGGTGAAGGAATACTATGCAAAGTTACCAACGTCATAGGAGAGGGCAAACAACGCCGATATGAAGTACAAGACGTCGACAATGGAGATGCTTCGCCGCCACAACGGGCTTCTGTGCAACAGTTGATTCAGATACCGGAAAGCAACAAAGGTTTGGGCGATCTAACTAAGGGTAAGCACGTCCTCGCCCAATATCCGGATACGACAACGTTCTACAAAGCCGAGGTTTTCGAAGCGTGGAAGGCCAAGGAGGCAGGGAATACCGAGAAAGGAGAGTGGGTACGACTAAATTTTGAAGATGACGGTTCGCCTCGAGAGGTCGAGCGAAGATTCGTCTTGTCAGAAAAGTGACCCCGTCGCACAATTTGTGTTTGATCGATATATCGCGTCTGCCCTCAGCATGCGTCGAAGGCGAGCCGCGTTACCTCTTCGCTCGATATCAGTTCAGAGGCTGAAGGAAAATTGCGTTTGTCCATTTCTCCCCCAAGCCCGAGCAGATATCATAGACCGTTAAGGGACCTTCACTGTCCGTCAGTGGGTGGTATCCGCGCAGCGTGTTGTGCCTGCACAGTTTGGGCGCCATTCGTTATCACCGGAGAATATCGTGCGCAGGCACCAAGCAGGTGCGACTTGAGGTGTGTTCATTCGAAGGATGGGCAGGTGTAAACAAAATTTGAATTCATCGTGCCTAAATCGAATCCGAGATCAGAGTTCATCAGATCGCACACGCATACATAACAGGCTTGTTCCTTTCCATCATCGTAATTCACTGCAAGCAGTTTATTCAATACATCTACCGCAACAGAGATCTCGAGCTGTCGGAGCTATCGTCACGATCATTAGTGAGCAAGAATATGGCGAATACGACCTCACAGGATACGCCTAAGACGCAGAATTCCCATTCAACATCTTCTGCTGCTTCACAGTCTTCCCTTTCGAACATGCGCCGCTCGTCATTCGAACATCGCCCGACATTGCAAGACTTGGAGCCATTCGAGCCGTTACGACGCTATAGAAGTATGGGTGATGGTCTCAGACGACCTTCTCTTGGTAATCGTATCTCGCAATATTTCCACTCATTGCCTGGTATCTCTCTCCATATCTTGCTGACAGCCGGTGTATTATGGCAAGATACTGAGCTGACATGGACAGGCTTACGACGTGCCAGCGTTACACCCCAACCGCCCGCTCCTCCACTTTCGCTTAGTGCGTCAAACACTATGCAAGAACGATCACGATATGTTGCGGACAGGGAGCGTAGAAATCATGCGGATAATACTCCTCACAGCCCACCAGAGCCCCCGGGCAACCGGATCCAGCCAATATATCTCGACGGATCGGAGAGTCCACCTACAGAGCCACTCGGCCCTCATGGCGCAAGTACGGTTCGTTTCCATCCCTCCACACAGGTGGGCACATTCCTGCGGGACTCTCCACCATGTTCCCAGCATATATATCGCATTCGCATGCTGCCATATCCAGCGCGCGATCATCCCGATCCACGGCTTGCAGACTACCAGAGACACATGGGGCCATTAGTGCCGCAACAGGCCAGCATTTCTTTATCGTCGCTCTCGACTAGAAACAACCCCATCTTGAGGTCGCGAATGCCTGCCTCTTGGGGACCTTTGAACTTACTGGGAGACGGTGGAGAAAGTGAAGACGTTGCGCGGTTGCCGACAGGCCTGGAACAGCGGCTGCGCCTCGATAGTCTGGGACAAGCACCCGATGCGGTCAAAGAGCAAGACACCGAAAGCAGCGACTCCGACGTATACGATGAGGATGCTGTCGAGTATTGTGAGCGCCCAGTTCGTGTGCGTCCGACGCATAATGCTCGTATGTAGGGAGGTAACATGCAAAGAATTGCGTTGGATGAGTGACGCTGACATTGGGAAATGCATCATAGCTTCTTCGCCTACTGTCAATACTGTTTACACAGATATCTCACACTTAGATCCCAAAGCTCTCCTGACGGCAAACCAGAGGTCAGAGGGCCTATTCGGAACATTACGATACTGGCTGGACATCATCGGAGACGAAATGATGCCAAGCCTTGATAATATATCGCGGGCAGAGGATGAATGCGCTTCAGTGCCTCAGCATCGAGCAAGCATGCCAGATGCTGAACCTATTCACCCTACACCCATCTCAGACACTGTGGAAGAGGTTTCGAACACTCTAAACCTGAAGCCTCGTGTCAAGAGCTTACCTCGACGAGACTCAGCTGTGGGCCTTTAGGATAGGCCTTTGCAAAACACAACGCCGACGCCCAGGTTTGTGGTCAGGAGACCAAAACTGCAGAGACCTGATAATGTGCTATCTTCGACAGAAGCTAGCGATCGATCTCCTTTGTCGCAGAGACTCTTCCAGACAAATTTCCCACAATTAGACAACGACCGGATTGAAGATATTTCGAGTCAAGACTGCACGGTCATGTCGGCATCTATACCAGGTGTGCTCAATCCAGTCCAATTCCTCTGCGGGCCTTCATATCTACCCTTCAGGCATTTGTCTTGCGATCATGGGGCAATCGCTTGCAACCATCTCGACATATCTCCAGATGTCCTTCACAATGAGGTTCAACCCTTGGTTGGGCAGCATAAGGACGACAAGATATCGTTCGGCAACGCCCTGGCCATCGATTACAATACACTTGCTTTGTCCTCTGCCCCTATGCCGTCGATTGAAACTCAGAAGCAGCAAGATTCCGCTCCGCCTTCAGCCTATTCTGAACAGGCGCCGTCGAGAGGTCCAAAAGATGAGACCATCAGCCAGGGGAAGAAGCCTATCTTGAGCCAGTATTATGACATACAACATAGAAAAGAAGGCCAACAAGATAATGTTGCTAATGACGAATCGGATGTCAAGAACGCGTGGTATCTACCATATAAGCATGAACCGGACTGGAGTGCATTGAAGACGCCTCAAGTCATCTCTAAGGTGATGAAGTTGCTTGATCTGACCCGAGAGACGAGCGCGATTGCGCAGCGAGCTGGAACCATCGCACAACAAGAAGATTTGTTCAGTACGTCTAGTACCAGCGACAGCCATCTTGAGCGAGACGACGAAGGGGTGGCTCCCGATGAAGATGTACTGCAATCGCCTGGTGAACTCTATGCCGATGATGATAAAGTGTCTGCGCCAACAAAACACGCGGTCTCTAATTATTCAGCTAATCATTGTTTCGAACCCATCCCACTTGGGCCTCGACCAACACCAGTGGGCTTGCATCCTCAACCCAAAGACGAGGACGAGGATGTGTATCAAGAATTATCGAGCACAAAAGGCAATGACGCTGCTGTGTCTCTTGCTCAAGGCAAAAAACGAGACTCGACCTACTCTGAAGACACGCTTCCTATTCCGCCAGTTCCGCCACGTCCGGCAACTCGAAGGTTGTCGGCCAAGAAAGAGAATATCGTCTCATTCGCACCCTCCTCTCCGTCGTCATCATTTAGTGACGGCAGTAAAAAGTCTCTCCGCTTCAACCTTGACAGTAAGGCCAAGTCCTGGCGGCCTTCAATCTCCAAGGCGACTGCTGGTGTAGGCTTTCACGCCGACAACGTCTTCAAGAATGGTGGTCTCCGAAATGCACCCAGCTCGCTTAAAATGACACCTCTTGCATTACCCGGCGAGACGGTCGACGATGCTATCAAGCGAATATCCACCTTGCAGATACCAAAGCGGCCTACATCAAAGGATCTCCTGAGACAGGAAATGACACGATCCAAATCAGCACTCTTAACCAGCAGACAGGATGGCCTTGCTGGTATTCCATCGCCAATAATGTCTCCATTCTCATTCGAATTTCCTCGGAAGCCTGATGCCCGGTCCGTTTCGCCGGTACAAGCTGAGGAACTTTCACCACGCCAAAATGACGAGAAATCAGCTGGCACCTTCAGCTCTTACTCATCCTTTACAGGTGAACGACTCGAATCGACGAGTGCTTCGCGCAAACACTCAAGCCCAGATGGCGATGCAGCTCCACCACCAAAACGATCGGGTAGCGTTTACAAGCATCGGCGCATCGACGGTATCACGATGAACCGGGAAGAATCGAAGCTTTGTAAGTCTATCTCAGTACCATGTGTAAACTCACTGGACGCTTACACTTCAAGTAGGGGCCAACTATACCAACAGAACATTGCCGCCAGCATTACCATCGGCAGCCGAGGAGTCATATTTCGGACCTACATCACATGGTTCAGATTTCCTGTTATACGAAGAGGCCTGCATTAACGTCGAGCCCCGATCACTGTTCTCTCACGGTGATACATTCAAAGATCTTGTGTCGACTTCTGAAGCGAGGATGGCGGCAGAAGATATATTCGTGGAGCCTGGATCCAAATGCATCGAGCGTGAGAATCACCAGACCGCCGCAAAGTCAACACTGAGAGACAGCCCAAGCATGCCATCTCTAGGACCTAGCACTCCACGACAAAGCGATCATACCGTGTATCGCAAACGACGCGCCCCTACCAATGATATTGCCACAGTCGTCGATGAGTATAAGCATTACCTTCGCGAGTCACAAAGGTTGGGTCGGGATGCGACTGAATTACTGACAATGTCTGAGCGTGACGAGGGCATAATTCGATCGATGATGGGAGGACCAGATGCAGGTTGGTTCCAACCAGGCACAGCAACGTGGTTGACGAACGAGGGACAGAAGATTGGAGGCGCGTTAGAAGAGGCCCGTCAAGCGCGAGAAGCGGCAGAAGGTAAGTGCAACCTTTCGGGCTGCGCTGCCCGGCGCGTCCCGTTGGCGTGTGCTGTCGAAACGCCGCTTGCTAACCACGAACCCTCGACTTTATTAGACCACGAACAGCAGACGCGCCTCGAAGAATGGTTTGCAGCACAATTGGACAAAGCGCCGTCTGAATGCGATATTCCTGCACATTTACGTCCACCACCAGGCACTGAAATCAACGAATATTTACGTATTGGACGAAAAACCTCTGCAAGTGATCAGACGCGTAGTCGAAGCAGCTCTCCCGAGACAGTGATTGGCATCAGCGAGCCTTCCTTGCGACCCACACAGCGTAGCCCTGAGCAGTGCTCGGTCGTCGCTGCAAACGATCGTCCAGAGCCAGCGTCTGGGAATTCTGGATAAAAGAGTCGTATTGGAACAACTCCTGGCCTCCCCGTCGGGACAATGGCGAATCAGAATGGCATGGTTGGTCAGAATGCCGCCGGATACAATGCCTTGTCTGGGCAGGGTGCGATCCCAGCCGGGCACTTCAGCGACATGCAGCATCTCGATAGGAATATGGACGCATTGAGCATTGCGGTTCAAGAAAACAGAGCCGAGTGGCAGCTTATAGAGGAGCTATTGCTGCGGGCTTCAAGGATACAAGTACGATCATTGCTCAGTAGCTAGAACCTCACACGTAGCCAACACATCACTCATTCGTTTGCCAGGGTAGAGTTCCTCGAGATGATTCACCACATTTGACCAATGGCGTCCACCCAGATCCACGTATGCTTGCCTCCACCGTGGAGTGACCTATTGTCGTCATGACTGACCATCCGAAGCAGCCGATGTTCCAAACGTGGACCACCTGCAGCCTACGGTAGAACAACTCCAGACCGAACTGGCCGCCGTCACTGCCCGCGCCGAAGTCGAGAAGGCCGAACGCGACCACATCATCGAGGAATATATGAACGCCTTCAACTCCATCACTCCCGCCATCCACGAATACCGCTACGGCTATCGTACATTCATGCATAACACCCTCGCTCACTACAACAAGCTCCTCGAACAGGCGCGCGAGGAGACGCTCAACGCCCGCCTCGAGAACCAAGCCTGGCAAGCCGGCCTCAAGCGTCTCAGCGAGGGTCTTCGCGCTGCGAGCCAGGCACGCGACGAGGAGGGCATGCCGTGGAAACGCCGCATCGCGGCCCTGAAGGAGGAGAACCGGATACTCCGCGCAAGAGTTGGATGGGATCCGCCCGTCGACAGCGACGACGAGGACGATGAGGCTGCTGGTGCGGGCGATCGTGTACCGGCGGGGGCGGCGGCGGCGAGAATGCCGGAGACGAGAGGCCGGTCGACACAGGCGACGCAGCTGCCTGTGAGTGCGTCGGAACTTCAGCTGTGAGTGGCAATTGTTTCATAGCTATGAGCATTCCTCAGCGGCCATATGTTGCTCTTCAGGAACGTCACTTGGTGGTGCAGGAACTAGTGCAGCTGAAAGCGGACATCACGGATGGCCCCTTGCTCTGACTAGGCTGTCCAGGGGGCGGACAAAAGAAGGCATTGCAATACGGGATTGGGACGACATCGCTGAATCAGAAACCGAGACGAACGTGTACATCAGAGCTACAAGGAATCGAGTTGAGCATCATCGCTTTACGATTTTTGGTTGCGTGTTCATAAGCCTCATTGATCATTTCTCATATCTGTGGCCATCAGAACTCTGCTCTGAGCGCTATAGCTCCCGCATGTTGACGACGCAGCGGATACAGTCGCCAGCGTGCATGTCGTGGAAGGCAGAGTTGATGTTGCCCAGGTTCTGTCGGTGAGTGATGAACTCGTCGACCTTGAGCTTGCCGTTCATATAGTCGTCGATCAGACCACCCATCTGAGTGCGGCCCTTGACACCACCAAACGCACATCCCTTCCAGACGCGACCAGTAACGAGTTGGAACGCTATATTGTCGTCTTCGTCAGTATACTCGGAGCACGGAGACTCTCGGGAAAGCAACTTACGTCTGGTAGCAATCTCCTGACCAGCAGCGGCAACACCGATAATGATGCTCTCGCCCCATCCCTTGTGGCAAGCTTCGAGCGCACTTCGCATGACGTGTACGTTACCGGTACAGTCGAACGTGTAGTCGCAGCCACCATCGGTCATGTCGATTAACCGTTGTTGAATGGTCTCGTCCTCCTTGAGATCCTTGGGGTTGACGAAATCGGTCGCACCAAATTTCTCCGCCCACTCCTTCTTCGAGGCATTGACGTCGACAACGATGATCTTGCCGGCACCGTTCTTGACGCATCCTTGAATGACGGAAAGACCGACACAGCCTGCTCCGAAGATGGCCACATTTGATCCCTTCTCGACACCGTTCTTTCCTGCGGTGATGACAGCGGCTCCGTAACCAGTGGTAATGCCACAGCCCAGCAAACATGTCCTGTCCATTGGCGCTTTGTCGGTCACCGCGACCACTGAGATGTCTGCTACGACGGTGTATTGCGAGAAAGTCGAGCAACCCATGAAGTGCAGCAGCTCTTTACCCTTGCATGTGAATCGTGAGGTTCCATCTGGCATAACACCCTTGCCCTGAGTGGCGCGAATCTTGCCGCAGAGGTTCGTCTTGCCGGATTTGCAGAACTTGCACTCCTTGCATTCTGGGGTGCTGTGGTAGAGAAGAACGATGGTTGTCAGTCGCGACGCTTTGCCGGGTCGTCGCACATCGATCGATAATCGCCATACAACGCGATATGAATCGTTAAAGGAGAACTCACTATAGCGCAATCACAGTGTCGCCCTTCTTGACATTGGTGACGCCCTCACCAACACTCTCTACAATACCAGCACCTTCGTGTCCCAGCACGATGGGGAAAGCACCCTCTGGGTCCTTTCCACTGAGCGTGTAGGCATCCGTGTGACAAACACCGGTGTAGTAAATTTGTATCCGGACTTCATGTGCTTTGGGAGCAGCAACCTCGATGTCTTCGATCACAAGGTCCTTGCCGGCTTCCCATGCGACGGCGGCCTTGCATTGGATGGGCTTGCCTTCGGTAGACATTGTGAAGATCAATGGGTGTGAGACGGTCAAAGTTGCAGTAGCCTATTCACCTTGATGGACGACTTTATATGAACCGCCAGGTAGAATTACAAGATCGAAGTATATATGTGACCAAAGAACATGACGATTTGAAGGAACCACACGGGCGGGGCTCTCTCCATTTTCCGTCGTTGGCTCATCATATCCGCACGACGATGATGTAAATGTATTGCGGGGCGCTTATGGAATGATTGCGGATGAGGGCCGCTTGCCAGCCCTGGGGGCATTGCACAGTTCCCAAGCTGCTCGCACATGGGCTGAAGCAGCTGGAGCTTTGAAGAGTCTCCAAAGTTTGTTCAATCGGTGTTCACGTTGCGATGTTGCCCATGCACAATGTACAACGTCTTGCTTTCTCGCACGCGTTGCCACCGTTCATCACATTGCTCTTTTTGCGAAAGTAAAGACGCGAGATGCCTCGATTCTATAAGAAAACCGAGCTTCGAATGCCCAAGTCTATCCTTTCATTCTGCCAGCGATAAAATACAACTACATGCCAATTACACAACAAATGCGCCGTCTCGAAACCCCATGCAGGTGTCTGTTTTAGGAATGGTTTAACACCAAGCCCAGTTTTGTGGAAGGCATGACATTCGTCCACGTTTAAGATAGTTTAGTTTAGGCGCGCTGGATGTCGTCAAGGTTTGTCCACGCCGTCGTTCGTACGCCTTTGCTTAGCATGAGACGTCGGTGCTGGCGCGCGAGTTCATGAGCAGCGCCACAATCAGGCCGTAAAGACCTGTATCCTTAATGTCAGTAAATGTTGTCGCAAAAGCTGCTAGGGGTCCTGCTTACCCAACACTTCGGCGAAAATGAGAATGAGAATCATGCCGACGAAAAGTCGGGGCTGTTGAGCAGTACCACGGACACCGGCATCACCAACGATACCAATCGCGAAACCAGCGGCGAGACCAGCGAGGCCGACGGACAGACCAGCACCAAGCTGAATGAAACCGGTGAAGAGAGAGGTCTTCTGCTTGAGTTCGTTGGAGATCAAGACTGACACGACCAAGCCGTAAATGGCAATGATACCAGCCATAATGACGGGAATGATGTCTATGTTGGACAAATTGTCAGTATTGGAAATAGGCCGGCAGGCGCTGTCGGTTCGTGACTTGATCGCCACGTCACTGCGGGTCACGCTCGATATGTAGACGTACTCTTGACGATCAGGTCAGGCCTGAGAACACCCATGGCGGAGATACCAACACCAGCCTTGGCGGTTCCGTATGCAGCACCGAAGCAAGTGAACACAATGGCAGCTGTGCAGCCCATCGCTCCAAAGAACGGCTATCAGGAGAAAACGTCAGCATGTTTCATGCCGATTCTTCCGGTCTCAATTGCGTTTTTCCAGAAAGCCGAACGTCTCTTTCAAATATGATGGCATCATCGTCGCGCGGCGATGTTGCTCCGGAACAGGTAGGGCCTCGTTTGGCTGTGGTGGGCCGCAGGTGGCTAGGTGGTACTTACGGCATACACGGGGCTAAGCACAAATCAATGTCAGCCATATTCACACATGATGGATGATAGCATCCGCTCTTCTGATGATTGCGAGTCACAAGTCGCCATCATCTTCGAACGCAGATGCTTCCAGCGGCTAAGCATCCGGGAGGCGTCCAGGCAGGGCTGTCGTCTAGACTTACCAGAGATCGGAAGACATAGTGAATTAGCTGAAGGTGTGAAGGAGAATGGTCCGGTTGGTTTGCTGCTAGGATCGAGTCCAAGAAGGCGCTGAGAAGGAGAATAGTTCGATTCGCGGAGACGTGATTGACAGTGACGTGCAGCGGACAAGCAAGCAAGCAGAGTCGTCACGGAGAGCTATCGCCAAGAGGACAACGGCCATTCCCGTATAACGAGCGTCGCCTAACACGTGACTTACATGATGCGCTAGCACTACGGAAGACCCAAGCTCGGAGCTAGTGCTTCGAAATTCTTTTGATAGCACATATTGGATTCCGCGAAATTCAACTTTTGCGAACTTGCAAGATTCTCCAAGGCCGTGAACCCTCATTCAAGTCTGGGCGAGCTTTGTCAAATTTCTACACAATATCCACTTATCTTCGCAAGTGACGCTTTCCGCAGCAATGTCTTCCGACGGAGCCGCCTGGCCTGTTGCCGACCAGGCCCTTGCCCAGGAAATTTTGGATCTTGTCCAGCAAGCTTCGCACGCCCGTCAATTGAAGAAGGGCGCCAACGAGGCCACCAAGACCCTCAACCGTGGTATCAGTGAGATCATCATCCTGGCCGCCGACACTGCCCCGCTTGCTATCTTGCTTCACTTGCCGCTTCTCTGCGAAGACAAGAACACCCCATACGTAAGTCGAGAGGCCAGGCGCGTAACCAGCACTCATCGCTAAATTTGTTTTCTACAGGTCTATGTTCCCTCAAAGATGGCACTCGGTCGCGCTTGCGGTGTCACTCGCCCGGTGATCAGCTGCTCGATCACCACCAACGAGCAGAGTGACCTTATGGGTCAGATCAGAGCCCTCAAGGACAAGGTCGAGCGCTTGATGATCTAGACGATCAGATGGGAGCTCGATGGACAGGAGATACTGTGCGTTACACATACGAGTATCTCGCACTTCTGGACACGACTTTCCGAACGCAACAGCAGGAGGCGCATTGGAACACGGTGTAAGAAGAGCAGGCGAATGATATGTGTATGCAATGTAAAAAACACTTCCACGACCATCATGAGAGATGTGACATGCTTGCCATTATGGAGGCTTTTCGACGGAGGCCGCTTTGCTCGCAGCAAGCGCTGCTTCAGCTTTATCAATGCGCTTCAGCAGGAATGAGAGCGTAGCGTCGCGAGCCTTATCCAGCGCTCTCAGTCGTTCCAATTGCATGGCACCGTAGTCTGGAGTATGTTGTACCTGCGTTCGAGATGCTGTGACAGCTGATTTTGATGTCTGCTCTGTACTTGATGGTTTTTCAGCTGTGACTGCCTGCTCTTTCTCCAACGCAAGCGTGCGCAGTACAACTATGCTATTGTCCCTATCCTCCAAAGTTTTCACAAGCCGACCACGTTCCGCTTCTTCATTGGCAATTTTCTGTCTTTTGGCACGTTCTTCAACTTGATGGTCCTCCCACCGGTGAATGGCCTCTTGCGCGCATGTCTCAATATGAGTGAACCGTGCTGGGCCGAGCATAACGCCTCCATACCATCTCGCGACAACACATGCACCAACAGCACGCGACAGCTCTAACACTTTTTCAACCTTTTTCCCGCCGTACTTCTCTCCATCGTCGTCCGAGCCTGTTATGTAGCGCGTCGCCTTGGTGATCGATTGTTGATTGCTTTCGCGTCGCCAGCCCAGGATTTTATGTGATGCACCTTGAATCTCTGCTAGCTCTTGCAGCTCTTTCGGAGTGAGCGTGGGTGAGAAATATCCGATAAATTTGGACGATCGATCTTCGATGGGGGCTGAGCGGAAGACATTCTCCAGTTCGCTCGTGTCACCTGGCTGCTTGCGCTTTAATGCCATGGTCTGCTGAAGGATCTCGCATCATTGACACATAACATGTTTGGCAAGCGTGGGAACGCGTCGATGTCAAAGCTGTGGGCACTGGCTTGATCACATATACGAACTTTACCACCTGCATGCAGCAACCTTGGAAGCAAGAGGGGCCCTATGGTGCCCCGAACTCTGATCGGAACACGCCCGACGGGAAGGACCGCACCTCATACATCATCACATTTCCTAGTGATGACATGTGAAAGAACCTTCCTTGGAAAGCCGCATATCCCAGAATTATGAGACCTCTGTCTTTCAAGCGCCGTCCATTCGGGAAATGACGCTCTGAACTGCAAGATGATCTGGGAGAAACATGAGAATAAAGCATCGCTTTTCCAGAATGATGTTAGACCCGCATGTGTCTTATCAGTGTGTGTGTGTGTGTGACAGAAAGCGGAATGCAACGGATCATCAGTCCACTATATATTTCTGATAGCTCTCCAAGTCTCAACACGCAAAGCTGTCTGCAGCGATACCACCCCGAAGGCTTCTTCAGCTCCTGTGAGGATCGTTTCGTGTCCTCTGCACCTTGAATTGACACGTCGTGTCTGTCTCGTTTAAACCTTTCTCACAATGGCAGAGCAACAGGTCGCTAGCATCATAGTGGATAGCATTCACAATGCTGATGTGAAGGTGGTATTCGGAATCCCCGGTGCAAAGGTGGACTCGATCTTCGACACTCTTTCGGATCACCCGGAAATCAAGTTGGTAGTATGCCGCCATGAACAGAACGCAGCATTCATGGCGGCAGCAGTGGGTCGTATCACAGGCACACCTGGTGTCTGCATTGCCACCTCGGGGCCTGGTGCCGGAAACCTGACGACAGGGTTGGTGACAGCGACAAGTGAAGGTGACCCTGTCGTTGCCATCATCGGCTCAGTGCCTAGACTCCTCAGCACGAAGCACACACATCAATCTATGAAGGCTTTGGACATTTTACGACCAACCGCGAAGAGTGCGACCAATATTGATGTCGAAGACCAGGCAGCTGAAGTGATACTGGCAGCCTTTCGCACAGCCAACAGTAATCCCAGAGGAAGTGCCGTCATTTCAATACCGATGGATGTCGCCGCAGGCAAATCAAAGATCAAGGCATTTCAATCGTCAGCGTTCAAACCACCACTTTATGGTCCTGCCCCAATCGAGCGCATTCGGGAGGTAGCGAGCAGGATTAGCAATGCCAAACTACCGGTACTGTTCCTTGGTCAGAGAGCTTCGAGCCCAGTGGTCATCGCAGCAGTCCGCGAATTTTTGGTTAAACATCCCATTGCAGTGGTTGAGACGTTCCAGGCTGCTGGTGCGATCCCTCAGGATCTGGCTGATAAGGTCTTCTTCGGCCGTGTCGGTCTCTTCCGCAATCAGACCGGTGATCGTTTGCTCGCCAAGTCAGACTTGATCATCACGCTAGGCTATGATCCCTTCGAGTACGATGCTCAGGCTTGGAATCCTGACGGAAAGCTCACGATTGTGCACATTGATTACACTTCATGTGATTACGGCGCATATTACAACCCTGAAACAGAGCTTCTCGGCTCCGTCCGTGAGAACATCATGGCTTTAGGAAAAGAGATCTCGCAAGTCGCGGACCCAACCAAGGACCCATTCTGTCAGACACTTAGCAAAGAGCTGAGGGCTTGGCAGGACCACCTCAACAGTGCACAGGGCGATGGTTTGGTCAATCCCTTACAGTTTATCAGTGCCCTCCAGCAACGACTGTCACATGACACCACTGTCACTGTGGATGTGGGCACGGTATACATATACATGATGCGCTATTTCTTCGCGTATCAGCCCCGAAAATTGCTTTGTTCGAATGGTCAGCAAACACTGGGTGTTGGCATGCCGTGGGCGATTGCTGCCTCACTGGTGCAAGAACCACCTTGTTCGAGAAAGGTCGTCTCCTTGAGTGGCGATGGCGGTTTCATGTTCTCGTCACAGGAGCTATCGACAGCAGTTCAACAGCAATGCGACATCACGCACTTCATTTGGAACGATGAAGCTTACAACATGGTCGAGTTCCAGGAAGAGATGAAGTATGGACGGTCTAGCGGTATCCACCTGGGAGGTATCGACTTTGTCAAGTTCGCAGAGAGCTTCGGCGCAAAAGGCTTCCGGATTGAAAATTGCTCGCAGATTGAGCAAGTTATGGACCAGGCGCTTGCACATAAGGGAGTATCACTCGTGGACGTCCGCATCGATTACTCGAATGTCAAGGAATTGGCCGACCACCTCATCAAGGACAGTGTTGGCTAGGCACTCGCCGATGGATCACAGGCAGCTAGGAAATGATTTCACGAGATTATCCAAGGCACCCAGTCATCGATTGATGCGTGGACCACTCGGTAGATAGATATATAATGATCCAATGCTTTAAATTTCTGTCGTGTATAAATCTAGGGTCAGTCTTGAGCTGAACGATCGTAGTCAGTGAGCTGTGTGCGCCGCACGCTTGCGAAAATGAATATTGCAACAAAATTGATCGCAAGACAATACACTTCGGTGCATAAAATCTCGCACAATGGTATCAATGCAACATCACGATGTAGAAAGAGACAGAGTGTATGGTGTCGGGAGCCGGATCTGAAGCAGCGCCATGACGTATTACGCTGATAGAGCTTCCGCAAGCTTCGGTCGTATTGGAGGCTGGATATCATTCATCAGCAGAGAGACAACGCCACAGATAACTTCCAAGGTTGGAAAGCTGTCGCTGTGAGGCAAAGTTTATCCAAATAATCAACTGAGGCAGTGAGAGCAAAGATGGAAGACAACCACATATATCAGTATTCGCTGCTGAATGCTTTGATGGATGGAGTCTCCGAGTCTGGAATTACAGCATCGAAATTAGCAAGCAAAGGCAATCAAGGTCTCGGAACTTTCGCTCGTATGAATGGCGAGTTGGTTCTCATTGACGGCAAGGTCTATCAACTACAAGCAGAAGGCAAAGTCCGTGAGGCCGATGCTTCCGACCGAATTCCATTCGCCGTCAGCACCCAGTTTGTGCCACAAAAGACGGCGCAAGTAGGGTTCAAGAATAAAGACGACATTGACAGAGCACTTGACGAGTTCAAAGACCATGCCAAAAATCTCTTCATGACATATCGGATCAACGGACATTTCGAGTATCTGAAATGTCGCACGGTCCGGGGTCAAGAGTATAAAGGCCAGCCGCTATCAGAACTCGGCAAGAAGCAGTCCGTAGAGACTTATGAGAAAGTCAATGGCTCCATCATTGGTTTCCGTACGCCCAAAAATTGGCAAGGCTTCGGTGTGGCAGGAGAACATTTGCACTTCATTCAGGACGATCGAGCTGCTGGTGGTCATGTCCTCGAGCTTCGAGCAAGCCAAGTCGAAATTCAAATGGCCGTCGCGTCGAACGTACATGTAGAATTGCCAACTTCGGATGACTTCAACGCCGCAACGCTTGTGACGGATGACGAAGGTGTCAAATCGGTCGAAGGATGATGAAGCACGATTCTGCGTATCAGTGGTTTGTAGTAAGTGTCTGACATTATTTCAATATATTGCTGCGCAGTTCCTCGACCCGCGAAGTAGCTCTCAAGACTGAGATTATGAGTTTGCGGCTATGAAGCAGCGACTGTGGGTTTGAATGATTCAATATGCTGCCAACGGTAATTTGCTTCAAATGTACGTGCATTTCTCAAATGACCACCACTGGGTTTGTGGCTTACGTTCCGATCTCTCTCTATGCTTCTCCTTCCCACTCATTATTGATGCTTGGGGATTGTCAAACACAACTTCTTCTAGCAATTTCATCATTTCTTGTTGTCGGGGTCCTCCAGGATACCCTCGGCCTCCAATCTCCTCCGCGCCTCCTCCAAAGCCCATGTTTGTATGCTGCCGCAAGATTAGTAACGAATTCATACCAGCCCTTGCGAGGTTTGCAGGCGCCATCGAGATCACGTACCTGGTGTCAGGCTTGTAGCAGTATCCAACAACGCCGAATGCCAATGTGCCGTAAAAGCCGTAGAACCAGACGTTCTCCCAACCCTCCTTCTCGTACTTCTCGCCAGGCTTCACACCGAAAAGCCAGCCGCTGGGAGCATCGTAGTGGTCCTCGTGTGCGTGATCGCCGCCTCTCCGCGCAATGGTCGAGGAGATGTGTCTGTGCTGGGCGCGAGCCGCGAAGTTCGGGATGATTTGAAGGCTCGCGCGGGGTGTGGAGATCAATCGTGAGCGGAGGAGCGACATGTTGACGGATTCTGGGGTTGTCGACCTGTGGCTGTGTTCACAGGTAGACAAAGAGTGGAGATTGTTCGTTGTGTTGTCCCTGCAAACGAGCAAGCGATGTCCTGACTGCTCAGCTGGTGACTGCACCTAGCTTGGAAGCCAGAGAGGTCGGGAGACGGGCGCTTGGCAAACGGCTCTACCCGTTGCGCTGATGCCCGAAGTTCTGCCCTGAAGATCAACCTCTGGCTTGCTGATGCCGAGCGCGTCACCTTTCACTTCATCACATCAATTCGCATCTCGTCTTTTCTGTTGAGCAACGCGACCGTGTGAGCCGCTGTACATTGGGCGTACAGGATTACATTGTACGGCAGTGACTGATCTGCAGCTAGTTCACGCTGTTGGTGACTGCTTCAGAAACACAGACATCGCGTCAAGCGCGCTGAGGTAGAAGCCTCGTTCGAGGCATGCAATAGATGGGCTTAAACGCACTGCTCTGCCAACATCCTCACCAGAAGGATATTCGTCACTCATCGAACTCGATTTCGGTCGGTTCGTCCAAATCTGGTGCCTTCAGCACGGTCGAACTTGCTCCCGGACTGTTTCGTGCACTCAGATCATTGTGTTTCTGCGTAGCGCTGTGATTTCAATTGTTCTTGCGCTTCTCAGAGCTCATTTCTTGCGTCGCTTCAATCTTTCAATTCTGACATTCGAATCACTTCCTCTCACAGCATGGTACAGACAATGTCTCGTGCCCAGAGCGCACGCGCATCCAGTGTGGCACGCACAATTGTAAAGCGAAGAGATAAACCTTACAAAACCGAGCAGAGCATGGTGATCGAGAAGAAGAAGAAATTGGATCTCCGTGTCAGTGGCCGCATGAGATACGCTTTGCCAGTATACTGACGGATCCAGACTACGTTTCAAGCCCCTCCGCCTGGCTTTCAGTTCCTCCCTGTAGGCACGCCTGAGCTGGCTGAGAGATGCAAGGAGATATCAAGGATTCGGGGTCTACCTGTTGATATCGTCAATGTGAGTCATGGTTGAGAGACTGTCCTGCTAAGAATAGCTCGCCTAAGACCACTCACATCTTGGAATCCCAGGCCGATCCATTGAACAAAAATGGCAAAGACGAGAATAAAGTATCTCATCACATCTTGCGTGTTGGATATCATTTTCGTGCCGAGGTCGTCAACGACGCGTGTGCCGATTTAGGCTATGTAAACGTACGTGGCAAATATATGAAAGCGACAGAGGCCAGTACGCAAAGCATACTTGCCAGGACCATGATGAGTCACGGCCTTCGGCCTGTTCCGGGCGCTGGACTGGCTCCTGAACGGGAGACTGATGAGCAAATTCGCGCTGCCGTGAAAGAACTTTTCCCGAAGATTCCTGACGAAGATCTTGAAGCGATCATGCAGCATGCGTGGGCCGAGGGTAGCGGACGGGTGGGAAATGCTGCATTCCTCACTCTTTCACGTCGTGTTCAACTCGCAACCATAGCCCGGATTCGGCATCGGTACACTGATTACGACCGGCTTCTTCGTGCTTTTGAGTGGAAGCAAGCGCGCCTGGAAGTTGAACCCGTCTGTGTGCAAAAACTACTCGAATGGCGAGGTGAGAATGAGGAAGATGACCAGGTCGAGGAAATTGTGCGCGAGGTCATTGTCATCGACGACGATGACGATGACGATCAAGGCGGCAGTGCAAATATGGTGCAAGCCCGCGACTCTAGGATGGAGACGTCGTACCAACGCGTCGCTTACGAGGACCATGCTACAGAGCGGATCAACGAGCCAGGAACACAGCTTTTTGAGTATCCTGGGCAAGGAGTCGATCACACTCAACGAGAGATTAGACTTCGTCACCGCATTGACGAAGTTCGACGCCAGATGCGTAATACGCATTCTAATCCCGTGAAGCCCAATCTTGTTCGCGTCAATATCCCTGTGGATCAGGTAGGAAATGAGACCGTGGTCATGGATGGAGTTACCTACCACAAAGCGCCCGCCGCTGTGGACACGCCTATGCAGATTCCTCATCCCGGAGTGAACGCATTTTCCGGTCAAACTCCACGTCAAGGACTGCCTTTGCATGACAGACCTATTGCCTCGATCGAATCCCAGGACGGTATACCGAGGACAGTATATCGACATGATCCTGGAAGCCTCGCTCCGTATCCTGGACACCACATGCCCGTAAATATGGATGCAGGACAGCATATGAGGGACAACCGTAATCTTCCTGACAGTACCGGATTCGTAGATCTCACTCTAGATGCTCCGCCTCCGCCGAGGCAGCCTATCGCCGGACATGCCGCGAGCCATCACTTACGTAGGAGCCCTCCGCGATACAATCACGATAGGATCATTGACCTTACCGCGGACACTTCTTCGGGATCAAACTCGCCCCAAATACATCACACCGCGGACCGTTCTTACAACGGAACAAATCCAGAGCAGGGGCATTTAATTTCCAGGGGCTCCTCTCGGCACTACAGTGCATCTCATGCGGCACCAAAGTTCCCGATTGCTCAGGTGGACGGATTTGTCGACGCTCGCTCTGAGCAGGAACGTCGCGGGCTTATTGATGCACAGATTGCCCCAGTTCAATACGTAGAGCTGCGACCACGGCACTCGAGAACGGTGTCGCATCCAACAACGCGGTACACGCAGCCACCTCCGCAAGTGGTGTACGTACAAACCGTGCCCGCGCAGCACGTGCAGCAACCTGTCCACGGTGCTCCGGCCGCGATTCAGATGATGCCTCGGGATCCGGCGCGACCAGGGCGGCAGTATCACTACCATCGATAGTCGCATCGGCTTCGCATTTGGCTGCAACGCAGCCAGACAATTCTCTGGAAATCTGAATCCCAGAGATTTCCGCCATTCATTTCAAGCGAAGGGAAGTATCATTATCACATGAGTGGCGGGGTCCTCCACACATCGAGAGACGTCACTCTTTGATGACGATCGAAATGACTCCTGGATTGGGTTGGGCATTTCCAGCGTTTTTTTAAAAACAGCATGGCATCGGGGCGTTATTGATTGGTTCTCACGGCTGTATATCATTTCCCCCCTGCATGATTCATGCCAGCATTTTGTTGCCCAGTGTGGCCATTTGTTCGATAGCATTATTGTACGACACAGCATTGTACGACACAGCATGTACAAGTCCATTATGTTCGAGAGGAGAAGACCAAGCCGTCTTCTGTTGAGCGAGGGAAACGGGGTTTGGCCCTCCCGAAAGGCTGGGGAAACTCCCTCATGTATAATGTACGATTAGTAGTGGCGGTGCTCAAGTCATCGACTGCGTGTCAGCCTGACGGACAAAGAAAAATCGAAACAAGTTTTCCAGTGCGGTGCTTGTGACCATTTTTCCGAACTGATCTTCAACCCCCCACGTGATAGTAATCCATGTCCCCCATTGCTATATATACACCTGCTGGTGAGAGGCAATATTCCCGCCTCGTCCCGGTTTTGACTGTGACTTCCTTCTGTTCACGCGCGATCCCAGGAGTCCAACTACAGAACCGCTCATGAAACGTCGAGAGAATGGAAGGAGGGTCATCGCAATCAATCATGAATGAATAGCTACAACAGCAGTAGCAGTAGCCGCAAAGATCTGAATACGAAAAGAGCTGCGAACGACGATCGACGCAAGGACTTTTCAAGAGCTGAGGTGTTCACACATCGGTAATCATGTCCTCGAAGAATTGCGAATGACAAACGATGATTATGATGATGATGATGATGATGATGATGACAAATCTCTCTCTGCTATCGATGGAAATCTCTTTTCCCCAAATGATGCATACAACGAAACAAACCAACCCCTCCAAAGGGGGGGTCCTTCTGTCCTCTCTCGTTCTGATCTCACAGGATAAACAATCACCAACCATCAGCCTTGGGACCGGACCACCCGCTGGACATTCGATGGGGACGTGACAATTGCCACACATTTGGTGTTGATCAAAGAGCGGCTTTTGCCAAGCTTTACGACGACTTGCCTTGGATAGAGGGCCTTTCTGCCTTGGGACGACGGTGATCTTGCGAAAGGAGGGTGATGCGGGGAAACAGTGGGGAGAGAGAGAGTGAGAGATGGCAGTTGAACTACTCATCAGAGGGTAGGATACGAAGTGGGAAACTGGGACGGGGAATGATGGAGATTTCCGGGTCCTGACACTCGTGGGGGGCGGTGCAGTGATCCGAGCTAAGAGGATGCTGTTGGATAAAGAAATATTTTGTGATAGATGTTCTGCATAAAAACGTTTCGGGATTTACATTAAAGATGGAGTTTTGGGAAGAGTTCTCTCATGGCAGATGATTGACAGTTTGAGCTGCTGAGTAGAATTTCCCCCCGACAGGTTTCCAAGAGTATAGGTGCCGGGGAGACGGGTGCGAACTGTCGGCTCACAGGGCGAAGGGGTTGAGAGAACGGATGGTCAGGCATCTGTGATCAAAGTCAGTCTCGAACTCGATGAAAGCGCTGTGTGTCCTCGGAGAGGGTTCAAAACTTACGGAGGGCTCTTTGTCAGGTCAGTCCTCAACAGGACTGGCACGCGGGTCATCTCCTTGACGTCCTGGATGTAGTTGCCATTCTGCTCGCGAAGGGTGAAAAGCCCAAGGTATTTCTCCTTGTTGGTGAGCTTGGCCTCGGGGATGGACCCTTGAGCGGTAGCTTTGTTTTGTGCGTCGGCCCGCGAAGGCGACGAGTTGAAGGTGGCACGGTCGGCGTCGAGGGCAACGCCAGCAGTGTTATCGGTGATCTCGGAGGCATTGTCGTCGTCTTCGTCATCGTCATCAAACAAGGCGTCCACATCGTTGGTATCGATCGAGCCAGTGTTCATGGCCTTTCGCTCGGCTTCCTGGCTTTCCTTCTGCTTGGCCGCAACCTCTCTGGCGACAGTGCTGTGAGTAGGGCGGTGACCCTTGACCTGCGGGCGTTCATCCTCGGGGACAAATGCCGAGGACGGCACGCCCTTCTCCCAGTAGAGCTCGAGGAGGCGAGTGTTCTTGTCGAATTCGGCCTTCTTGAGCGGAAGCTGATCACAGTGGACGCGCTTCTCGAAACCATATTCCGGGATCAGAACATCAAACGCCGACTCATACACGCAGACGACGATTCCGACAGAGATCAGGTCTCCGCCTTGCTCCTCGCTCAGGCGGTTCATGCGACGGCAAGATTCGATGTGCACGCTCTGTTCCTGGGCGGCGTGTGCGGAGTCCTTCTTTGTGTTACAAGACTCGGCTGTCTTGTTGAGTGACTCGATGTCCTCAACGAAGTCAACAGCACCCTCGGACAGGGCGGTCTCCAATTGACGGTGGACGATGATGTCCGCATAACGACGAGAAGGGTTGGTGAAGTGCGTGTATACCGGCAGGTTGAGAGCGTAGTGGCCCAAGCCCGGGTCGGGCAATTTCCCTGGCACGATGTACTTGGCGCGTCCCATGGCTTTCACCACTAGGGTCTCCATACCCTTGCGGATGTCTGCGTCCTCAATGCGGAACAAGCTGTTCTGAAGTGCGGAAGAGCTCGAGATATCCATCTCGTAACCAATGTTGTTCATGCGCTCGGCAAAGAGCTGCAGACGACGTGGGTTGGGCGCTGTCTGACGGCGCAGGAATGCACGGTCTCCCAGAGCAGTGGCAATCTTTTGGGCGACAAAAGCGTTGGTCAAATGGCTCAACTCCTCGATCATCTCGTGCGACGGGCTGGAATCGAAGATGTTGTGCTCTACGGGAACATTCTCATCATCGAGCTGGTAGAAGAGGCGAAGCGGTGGCATCTCCGCCTCGTCGCCACCGAACCGAGCCTGTCGGAAGCGTTGCGTGATGGCGTGGAGCATCAAGATTTGCTTGGCCCGATCAGCGTGGGCCGAGGACGACGAAGTGCCGTTGATAATAGCATCGACCTCGTCGTAGACCAACTTTCCAGAGCTCTTGATGATGGCTTTGCCAATCCAGGTCTTGTCCTCAAGGACACGGCCGGTGGAAGAGTCAACTTGGAAGACAACTGACACAGTGTAGCGCTCCTCGCCCGGGCTGAGGCAGCAGATGTCGTTGGAAAGCTTGGTGGGCAGCATCTTGACGGTCCTATTCATCAGATACACGCCAGTACCACGCTTCTTTGCCTCGCGATCCACTAGGGAGTTGAACTTGACGAAGTGAGCTACATCGGCAACGTGGATGCCAATCTCCACAATCCCGCCGGACAGTTCCTTGAAGTGAAGGGCATCATCGAGCTCTTTGCTGCCATTGGGATCGATGGTGAAAGTCTGCTCGTCACGGAAATCACGGCGACCGGCCAAGATCGCGTCACCGTTGACTGCAATGTCATTAGCCACAGACCAGTCCTCGTGGCCGACATTCTTGAGGACAGCATCAGAAAAGTCGTCTGGGCCGAAGTTGTTGTCGCGAAGCAGAGCATCGGTCTCCACCTTGAGATCGCCGGCATCGCCCAGCTGCTCGCAGAGTGTACCGAATGGGTGCAAGCTAGTGATGGGCCAGCGCTTGATCATGGCAACAAAGATCTTGTTGGCGTAATCTTGGTGGCGCTCGACGAAATCCCGGGGTGCTTGTTCAGTAGGGATGGCAATCAGAGGTACGCGCTTGTCGGTGGGTTTGAACCAGACGATCTTCGGTCGGTCCTGTTGGCGCTCATGGTGCTGGCGACCATGGGTGCCTTCTCGTGCTTGACGCTCAGCTTCTTGCTTCTCCTTCGTCGCTTGGCTGCTGGGACGAAGCAAGCCGAGGCTGCCAGAGAACATCTGGCCCGCTACGCGCTCAATCACCGCAACGATGTGGCCGGCGTATAACGGCTTCTGCTCATCGTTGATCTCGTCCTCTTCCATGAGTAAGAGACTCTGTCCTTCGACCTCGACATCGTCATTCTTCTTTTGAGTCGGGCGTTGCTTCAAGCTGCCCCGGCGGCGAATGCCTCCTTCTTGAGCAGCCGAGGCGCTCTCGGGTTGAGTCGTAGCATCGTTGACGGCCGTAAAGCCTCCACCTCGCTGGTCGGAGACGTCCTTGCGCTTCTTCTTCTCTTCTTTTTCGCGCTTTTGACCCCAAACTTCGTCGACGTCGAGCAATTCCACGGCGACGAAATCACCTTCGAGGGCTCGGTTGCGGTCTTTGCTGCCGCAAATGAAAATGTCCGCATCGAGGTCGGTAGTCGTGACATACGCGTCACTGCGGTTCTTCTTGTTCACGCGCAGGATGCCGGCCACAAGTTGTCCATCGCCCAGGAGCGCTGGCAAGGTGGCTTGCGGCAGGTAGGGCGTGAACAGAGTCTTGCGCTGCTGCTGTTGTTGCTGCTGAGGCTGCTGCATTCCCATTTGCGGTTGGATCAGATTTGGGAAAGGTATACCAGCTTGCTGGTAAGCCTGGAGCTGGGCCATCTGCAAGGCGTTAAGAGGCTGGTTGCCGAACATGCCAGGCTGTTGCAGGACCACTTGACCCTGTGGCAGCTGCACAAGCTGTGGCTGTTGTTGGTAAGGGAAACCTGCCAGAGTGCTGACAGATTGGCTCGCCATGGAGCCGCGAGCACGGTGACCGGGTTGGAAAGGCTGGCTGCCGATGTTCTGGTTCATTTGCTGAAAAGGAGCCTGCTGTTCATTGCTCCCGGCTGCCTGCGGGTTGGGGTTGCGCCAGTTACTCTCGAAGTTGCGGGATTGGCTGCGGCCGTGGCTGCCACGGCGCGAGAGATCGGTCTGGTTAGGTGCAACGAGACCTTCAGTGATGGATTGCACTTGCGGGAATTGAAAGCCAGTGGGTCCGCCTCGGCCGCTTGCACCCATGCCACGCGCGCCACCCACCGCCATACTCTGGCTGCGGCCATGTCCGCGACCTTGTCCCAGACCGCCTCGAGCTGCACCAAACGACGAAGATGATGCAGCGGCCTCTGCGCTGGCAGGACTCTCCGATCGACCATAAGGTGAGGTCCCAGCGACTGGAGCTCCGCCGGCCGGGAAGACAAAGTTACTAGTCTTGCGCTTTGCTTCGGCGAGCTCAGCTGCCTTCTTCGCCTCCGGCAAAGCAAGCGAATGTCGACGGTTGTGTCCGGCACCAGGAGGGCCGCCACCTCTTCCACGGCCGGGAGCACTGTTCTCGCTTTTGTTCGAACCAAAGTTTCCAAAGTCGGAGCCGAAAGCGGAGCCCGATGCACCTGAAGATGGGGCGGGTGGAGGTCCCATGCTGGATCCGCCCATGCCCGGCAGGGCTGACTGGTTACGACGGTGCTGGTTCATGGGCTGGGCCATACCACCCGTCATGGGGATTTGCAAATGTTGCGGGTGGCCCAGCTGTTGCTGCTGCTGCTGCTGTTGCTGGGAGAAGTGTTGAAAAGACGCGAGGCTGTTGGGGCTGATGCTGAGGTTTTGCATCTGAGCTTGGAGCTGTTGGTGCTGTCCAGGCAATTGCTGTTGCTGAGGAATCATGCCCATGCTAACATATTGTTGGTGGGTGGCAGCGATCTGCTGCTGTTGTTGTTGTAGGGCTTCAATCTGCTGCGCGAGCGCTAGTTGTTCCACTACCAGGGAGTTAGCTGTTGATGCGCTCGGATCGAGATGCTTCTGCGTGGATACATGTCACTTACTCATCAAGGGGGTCATCTCAGATGGGCTGCGTCGGTGAGCGATGTGAATCCGGCGTCCACCCGGACCCTGAGGACCGGTCTGTCCCTGGTGAGGATCCATCCTGAGCGCGGTACGATAAAGCTACTGGTGGTGCAGTGTATGATTTTGCCCGTGTGTCGGCCGATCTGCTAATCCAAAGGTGTGTATTTTTTTCGGGTGACGTCTAGTTAGACGAATGGCTGCAGGAGCGCGGAAAGGTGACAACAGCGTTGTGTTGGAAGTGTTCGAAGTTATGCTTGAATACTGGGTGGGTCCCAAGAGGTAGAAGGTGTACGTCGCTGTCGATGAAGTTCGAGGCCAACACGTTGGACTGCTTGCGAAGGGAGCTGTGGTGTTTGTAGTGATTGGCGGTTCTGGAATGACAAGGATCGAGGACTGACAGGCAGGGCCAGCGTGAGTCTCGGCAGAGAAGGTGGTGATGGCGAGGCTTTCCCCCTGTGTTGGACAAGGCAAGAGTGATGGTGAGACCTGATGAGGCAGCAGGCGACGGATTTACCAAGGATCGACGGATTTCAGGGAAGTCATGAAGTCGTATGTGATTGACACCGGGAGTAAGTGTCAACGTATGATGTATGTAGTCGGTTGGTTGGTAGAAGAGAGCGTCGGTGCGTGCGTGTGCAGTGCTGTGGTGAGCGTGCGTATGCTGGACTGGACTGTGGACTGTGGACTGTGGATGATGAAGCAGAGCAGGCAAGTGTGGTGGTGTTGGTGGTGGTGTGTGCGAGAGGACCGATAATGTGGAGAGGGGCGAGCAACGGTTTCCAGCCAAGCCAGGACAGCAGCACAGAGGAGGCAACCGGCCTAGCTTGCTGGAGGTAATGACACTACAGTTCATGCTACCACAGCTAACAACTACAGTACCAGCTCCTCCTACCGCTATGGCTACTGCAAAATACCCGGGTAGGTGTTCTCTACATACTACAAGACATAATGACTACCTAGTCCACGGCTGCTGCTGCTGATGGAATGATAATATGGCAGCAATAACCGCATCTCGATGACCTATGATCGACCGCTTGAGAGACGGCACAGATGTTCACCTCCTGAATGAAGTCTGGACCACCACCGTGACTGTATGCAGGTGGTGATGACGTTGATGATCATAAATGGCATCGAACTGTCTATGAGTATGATAACTACCCGTGGATGCCAACGAAGCTCTCACAGTCGGGACGGATTATCTGCAACGGCCTCAGGGTCATTGATGCAGTAGATAACAAATTATAGAAAACCATCATTGCTCACATCCAACGGTTACCATGCTCAATGGCTGCGGGTGTGCTATGACGAGCATCAATAGGGAGGAGACACGATGCCAGACATGTGTGCAATTCTGCATATACACCCTGGTATGGACACGGCAGAGATGACCACGATGCCCCAGGTCATCATGTTGCTATGGTGCTACTGCTTTCGACGACGGCCTGGAACAGAGATTACTGGGAACCTTGGGGGAAAGAGGAGTGGGGAATTCGGTCTGTCGGGTACATGTTCCCATGTACACGGGCGATGATCATCATTGTGGAGCACAAACGCGGCAATCTTGCCTCTCTGGGGATGTCGCGAAGGCGCCACCAGGGCTGTTTCTGTCCGCGCGGTGAAATGAAACGACGAGAATGAGCACGCGACATTCTGCATTGCGACGGATTCGGATCTTGCTCTCCTACGCCTGTTGTCCCGTGGCTCTCGTTGGGTGCAACTACTAAATGATGATATATCAGCGGATGCTATTAGCTGTCACTCGTCAGACCCATTCACACTCCTGAAGTAGTGTGCGGAGGCCAGCTCTGGCCCCGTCATATCTTCAAAACGGGTGCAGTCCTTCTCAGATGAGCCCCAGAAGTCGAACGAACAAGACGACGCATGTTGAAAGCTTTAAAGCCCACGGACAGGCTCATCGACGGTTGCCTCTTTATACAGAATACTGTATTAACTCGGCACGAATAGGCGCGAATCGAATCGTCAGAGGGGCTCTATTTATACATACAGAGTATGCACTTGATCTGTCATCTTATGCATGACTTCAAGCCGCAATGAAGAGGCGCACGCGCGCAAGCTGAAGGTGGACGACAGATCGAAGGTATCACGTGACCTTCTCTGCACAATCCCGACTCCCACCTCAACTCATGTGCCTGCGAGAAAAGAGGAGCAGAACAGTCATCTACCGTCTTGATCACTCCCGTCACCATGTGTCGCGAGAAAGAGCTAGAGGGACAAATTGAGAGAACCAATCTCACGCGAAATTCGATCTGCATGTCCGCCAGCCGCGGATGTCAACTTCACGGTTCACACCCCTTCTTCACGACTCTTCACCCGTTCGTAGACCGTAGACAATTACAGTCGACCGCGAAGCTCACATCATGGCCATGCAAACCTTATCCGAGAATCTAGCCTGTAGGAGTTGAGTACTCGATGCCTTTGTATCCACTCAATGCCGTTCATTCGATCAACCCCAAGGCAAACCCTATGCTGACCCTAACGGACGGATTCTCCAAACATAGAACACCTGCACACAACGATCATCGCTAAGGTGGGTCTCTCAGATCCCAAGCAATCTATCCAATGACATTGGCGAAATTGACTACCAAATCCGCCAGCGTGATGTAACAGCATCGCGGTTCGAAGACATGATCGGAAGGCGCAAATTGGAAGAAACCCGCGCGTGGAGCGGGCGACGTCCTGGAGGGATCCATCGAATGCGTCATTGCTGCTTTCCGAGCAAGCACGCCAGCACCACAGCGATGGACGGATGGCCATATGCCCGTCCATATATGACAAGCGCCGTGAAGGCCGTCATCTCCATGGCGCAGATATCGATAACACCATCGTCGTCATCGTATGTGGGAAAGCTGGGCCACGGAATCCTGCCTCGACGGTGCCTTGATTTACCTTGACATGACCACACACATTCTCACCGACGACACATGTGATGCCTCTCGCGCGAATCGCCAATTGCGGCAAGGCAAGACTCGCTTATCGAATTCCAAGGTGTGATGTGAGTGTAGGTGTACCGAATTGTTGGGCGATGCGGGTTTTCTGCCACCTCGCCTGGATTCGTCCATATCCCATCGCGTATTTCAAAAAGTCGAATCTGCAATGCATCGGGAACTATAGCATCAGGCGCGCCGCTTGTCGAAAGGAAAGAAAATGGAAACAGAAACCCGAGCCGTCAGCGGCGCTGGCAGGCGTGTCTCGCTCAGTAGATGTAGACGCCCGTCTAGCACTGATGGCCGAGGCGATGGGGGGAGGCACAACGTGGCAGATCTCGTTGAACGCCCCATATATGCCAGCCATTCCCATGTGCGCCGGACCCAAGTCACTGCCTGTTGCATGTGTGCACATATGTACATACGGTCAATGGACGCCTCGCTCAAAGACCGAACAAGACGCATATGTATCACCGACACGTTGAGACGCTAGAATCATGAAATCCTCCCCCATGTGCATGTGCTCGGAGGATTTCACCTGCAGAGACGCACTACATATCCCGTCATTCCAGAACATTACCCCCCAACCGCCGCCTGGTCGTACGGGCACACACACAGAGAGAGAGATAGACAGGTCCGCGGTTCTCAGCAGCTAGCACCGCCAGATCGCGAAAAATGCCGGAAGATGCTAGCGAATGTCCGCGCGTGCGCGCGCGCGCGCGAGAGGGAGCCCAAAGGCGCGAGATGAGGGGAGCGGGTCACGCAAGGAAAAAAGAGCAATATCAGAAGCGCGATGGAGGTGCAATTCGGGCTCACCATGGACGAAGAAGACGTCCGACTTTGGAGATGGATGTATATTTATGCTGGCTCTCGTCGACGAGAATGACGGAGGGGGTTTTCCGTTGTATCATTTTCTGTCTTGATTCGATGTTTTCTTCTATTGTTGTGTGTGATGAATGAATGAATGAATGAATGGATTATGGACTACGCTGCAAAGAAGGTCTGGTCGCGCGCGCGAGACACAGTCACCTACCGAGGCTGTCTGAGAGAGAGAGAGAAAGGCGAGAGGTGAGGTCCATCTTCGCAGGTAGTGCGTGCGCATCTGCACTGGAGGATTCCGCCCGCAGATGGAGGAGGGGGGGGTGTATGTCATCATCCTCGTGTGTACTGTATGTGTATGCAGCAGACAAGCGAACCTTGGAAGGGACGAACACACACACAAACACACCGTCACCGCTGTATCGACATATGGGCAGGTTTGGCTCTAGGGGAAGAAACAGACATGGACGAATGAACGACATTTTATTTCTTCCTTCTGACGAAAGAAGGTTCCAAGGGTTTGTTTCCTCCCTGGGATGATGGACATGGTTCGATTTATCCTTCTTCCTCTTCTTCTCATCATTTTCTCGCCGCTACTGCAGGGTGGAGCCGCGCGAACACATGGGCAAGCGAGGAAGGGAGACGTTTTTGATTGTAGTTCTCCGCTATTGATTATTCCTGCCGCGGCATGGAAGGTGGTTCTTTTGGCGACCAGGAGAAGGATCATGATCGCGGAAGACCATGTGAGTGCGTTGCAAGGAAGGACCGGGCTAGAGAGCGCTGCTGATGGAACCATCACAAGTCAGACGAACACCACTGCATCAGCAATGATTCCACGTTTCAGCACGATTTCAAATTGGGTCTCTGTCATTGAATGTTCTCGCATTGCACCCTGACGACCTCTTGAACAATGATAATGATAACAATAAGCGTGACGACCAGTACTCTGTCGTGATTTCTGAAAAAAAGTATTTGGATTTTCCGTTGTTCCATTAGCAGCGGCGAGTTGTGAGCATGGGCCACAAAAATGCGGGAAATCAAGCTTTTGCTCTCTCCTGCCGGGGCGCAACGGTCGTGCAAAAAGACGTGAATCTGCGGGAAATAATTCCCTTTCGTCTGGGACAAACAAGCAATGTCCAAGTGTGAATGATGGGCGAGCACGGGCGGTCGGGGGGTTGGGATGATGGCGATAGACTCGGAATTGGGTACCGCACGTGTGGTGAGACGGAGGGAGAGACGATCGGAATCTAGACCACGCTCCAGCTGGAGTCCGTCATGTCCAGGTCAGTGCTGACCGGGCTCAGGTCTCTCGCTTGGATGGCATTTTCGGTGTCGGGGATATAGCACACAGAATCACGATAACGCACTGCGGGAGTGTGGACTGTATGGTGATTGTGTGGTCACCCACATCCCTCCTCTTCCCCACGATTTGACGACCCTGGAGTCCGCAGGAAAGTTACCGCGGACATTTTTGAAGATTGTCCGTGTCAGCACCAGTGTGTTGCACTATCCACACCCATCCCTCAACAGCGGAGGAGGAGGAAGATGAGGAGGAGGTGGAGGCGTGCACGCTACAAACCCTGTAGTTTCACGCCACTTCTGTCTCGTAGACTTTCAGATCCAGTGATGGTGATGATGATGATGCGGGGCGGTCAAGATGGTGGCCGCCGCTGTGGCATCTCCCATCGCTACCCTTCGCCTCGAGGCTGGCTCCAAATCTGTCATCACCTCTGGCTCTTTTGCTTTCTTTTTTTTTGGTTGGGTGCACTCGTCGCATCGTATCTGAGGCGCCGGAAACCTGGGATAGGCGTGGTGTGGGATGGAGTGAAGTGGCGTGCTCCGGCGCTTCGATGAGACATGAATCAACGTGGTCTAGGAGTTCGCTCTCCGCTCGCGACCGGCGACGACGTTGAATATTGGACGTGGAATGGTCGTTGATGGGATCCCTCAACCGGACGTTCCGATGACTCCGATAATGGATGAATCGGAGAGCAAGGAAATGGAGCTGAAGTCGGAGCTGTACCTGGTATGCTGTGAGAGCTGCGAGCAAAGCTTCTGGTTGACGACTGGTTTCGGTCCGTCTCGTGTTCATCACCTGCAAGGGACCAGGAACCAGGCACGAACTCCCTCCTTCTCACCACTCACTTACCAAATGACTGCTATATACTAGGTACAGTAGTAGTAGTAGTAGTGTGCCCAGTTTCACAGCATCTTACAATTCTAAGCGGCGGGGACAGTAGTTGTAGCAGCAGCAGCAGTAGTAGTGTGTCCAGTGGATTGACAGTCCAGTAGTATATACTGTATGTACACTATCATGGCATTCTCACCTTTCTGCTACTTTCATACCCTCCCTCCGAGGTCGATGATAGCAAGTCCTCAGGCTCGCCAGATAATGTTTCATCGTAACCGACTGTTATATCGTCCTGATGTCGTGCTTATCGCCATGGATTGTCGTGGTCCTTCCGGATTCGGACGATCGACGCTGTTGTTGTTCCTCCGCCATGTCGCCCAACTCTTTCCAGGTACAGTAAATGCTGTCCTGGAGTGACATGCTGGACGTACCCGCCTATCGCGGGCATCCACAATAGGTATACTCAGTACTTGAAAACTACAGCCTGCCTTTATCTGTGCTGTACATGCAGGATGGGTGTCGCGGATGCCACGCGTCGACGCAGGACTCGCCTGCTTCGTCCGTCCACAATTGGGCTCAAGTTGTCCTGTCTACGCATGTCGGACGCCACTCCAGCCGCTGATGAGTCCGAGAGACTCCCTGGCGCTGGCCAGAGCTGACGACGATGACGACCATGATGAGGTGATTTGGATCGAGTCGATGTCTCTCAGGAAGCTTGTGAAGCCGCGCTGATCTCCGTCGGAATACTGTACACACTCCACACACTATACACGCTATACACGCTATACACACTACACACACGACAGTGACAACGTTCATTATGACAAACGCACGAAATCGTGACGGGACAACCGTGCGGGAAACTCCATGTCGGTCCAGACAATGGCTCCGAGCGTGCAACCTTGTCCCTTTTCGGAGAGACTCTTTTGCACGACTCCGCTTGCGTTGGACGCATTCAGTCTGGCGTCTTCTCCGCACTGGCCATGGAAGATATTGCTTAGCATCTTTAGTCGCTTTTGGAAAATCCGGGCAGACGCTATGGCCAGCTTCCTTCTCCGGGGTCGAGGTGGAGTGGAGGGCGGCGTGCCCGAGGTGTCTCACAATGAAACGGACCGGGGAACGGAGGACGATGGCGGAGGAATGGCAGATCATGCAGCAGCAGCAGCAGTGGCAGTAGTGACGGGCGCGAGAAGAAGGACATTCAGCCTTGGACGGTCAATGGCGACGGCATGTCAACCGATCGACAGTGTGGAATGAGCCTCCTCTAGGTTTTTAGCGACGTCGACGACGTGCGGACGACACAGCTCAAGCAGAGCTACTGCTATAGGAGGACAGGCAGGACGGAGGGAAAGATCAGCATTCCCAAGCTGAGCGACCACCGACGATCGTGGTTCAAGGAATCCAGGAACACAGCCGATCACAGATCAAAATCCAGGCACGCGCTGCAACACGACGGCGGGAGGACGGCGGCATATGCGGCCTGCCCATAGTCGGTCGACATTCCCACCAATGCGGCCCCGATCGCCGCATTGACTCTCCAGGGCATGCCTTATCTCGCCCTCTTCAGCGCAGTGACGCTTCATCCCTCCCGTCCACCCCATCGTCGAATGCACCTCCGCTTTGCCCACAGGCGGGTGGCGTCCTCATGGCGTTCCAGCCATGCGTCGGTCCTCCAGTTTAGCTCGATGTCCCTCGAATGCGACTGGGCGATGCCGAGGTGCGTCGAAGATGTTCGAACGTGTTGCGCTACAGCACCCCAGTGGATCTCTCTCACACGAACGGAAATATTGCCTCCCATCGCGAAAAGTGATATAAGAGTCCACATCTGCATTCCAGATCGATCCCTTCTCTCCTTCCCGTCAGAGTTCCCAGACAAGCAACACTTCAATCTCAAGCAACTCCCAACCGACACTTCTCCCTTTCTTCCAACCTCAACCTCCAAAAACTCCCACCGACCGTCAACATGTACGTCAAGTCCGTCATCGTCGCCGCCCTCGCGGCCTTCACCGTCAGCGTCGCCGCCGCCCCCGAGGCCGAGCCCGACTTCCCGATCACCATCCCGGGCTTCTTGACCTTCACCATCCCCTTCCCCACCTTCCCGGCCCCGACCAAGAAGACCACCACCACCACCGCCAAGACCACCGCCGTCCCGACCACCAAGACCACCGCGGCCCCGACCACCGTCAAGACCACCCCTGCCGCCTCGACCCCGGTCAAGACCACCCTCGCCACCGTCACCTCCAAGGTCTCGGCCTCGGCCTCCAAACCCGTCGCCTCGGCCTCCTCCAAGCTCCGCCGCCGCCTGTAGATCGTTTCGGGTTGTCCCTTACCCTCGTCATGAACGAGGAGAGGGGAGCCTGACCTGATCCGAGCGCGCCTTCTGCTTTTTGTTCTTTTCTCCCTCACAACATCATCGACCCTTGGCTCTTCGATCCCCCCGATCCTCGGACCGCACGGCCGTCCTCCGATCACCGAAGCGCAATCCTCGCGCCTCCCGCGCCCCGGCACGAACGAGCCGCGACTTGGGGAATCAGTGCTCGTGACACCTCCTCCTCACGAGCGCGGCGCCTCTCTCTCTCTCCCTCGCTCTCGTCTCCGCCCCGACATCACGCCTCGCCTAAACGGGGTGAGTCGCGATCTCCGAAGCGCAGCAGAACCCGCCCTTCCCCTCGGACTCCGCGAACGGAAGCCAGGTCCCCACGGGACTCGGGGCCGTCGCGGGAAAATGGGGGTTTCCCCAACGTCGGGAAACGACGCATGGGTTTCCCCTTTTTCCGAGACGAATTTTCTTCTTCCTCTTCTCTGCTGGGACACGTCCCGACTGCGACGATCATGAAAACGCTGATGTGGATGTGGTACTTCCCCACACCCATATGGATTATATATGTGAACAATGAAATGAACAACACTCAAAAAACCTCACACGTGGAATGCGAAGTGATCTTCTTCGTTTCGACGGGATCTTTCTCTCTCTCTCTCTCTCTATGTATATCTCGGTGATGTGACGCCGTCTTCCACACCTCCTGTGTTGTCATTGTCGTAGGGTAGCCGCCGGTTCGGGTCTCGACCGGGTGGAGAGGGACGAGAATGTCGGACGGGCCGTGCCATTCGCCTTGGGGGATCGAAGTCGAGGGATTCCACAGAAACAAAACCAACAGATATGGAAATTCGACACGCGGAGTGCGAAATGTCCTCGGACGAGAAGGAGGAGGGTCATCGACCGACGACCCGTCGACGCTCGATGGTTTCTGCCGCTGTCGTTTCGTCCACCCGCTGTCTACCCCCTCGACTCTTCGCGATTCGGTTCGGGCTTCGTTCATTCGTTCGTGCGTTCGTTGCGGGGAAAGGGGGCGTACGGGCTCTTTCGAGGATTTCCCCCTTTTTTCTGGTTCAATTGAGAGATACGTGACGATGACGATGACGATGTTGTTGTTGTTGTGTCAAGTCGCACAAACCAGCGGAGAAAACAAAAGAAAAAGAAAAGACAGATCATCTCGGCCCATCCGGGGCTCCGCCCGTCGAATCGTTGGAGAAACCGCCCGGCGCACCATCATCCTCGTCACGAGAGGTCCATCTCGTCTCCCGCGCGGCCCTTCTGCCGGCTCTCCTCGACCCGCCTCGCCGTCGCCGCCTTGGCCGCTTCGACCCACTCCTCGTGCGCGCCCGCCCGTCGCGCTTTGTCCGCCGTGACGCCTTTCATGAGCTCGCCGATGAAGCCGACGAAGTTGTGGCGGCGCAGCGCGTTCTCCCACCGCCACTCGCGGCGCTTGCGCTCCTCGCGCGCCAGGCCCTCGGCGTCGCCCGCGTCGCGCGCCCGCCGCCGCAGGTCCTCGCAGATGGCCAGCAGGTTGAACCGGATCTCGGTCGCGGGGTAGCGCGCGATGCGCTTCTGCAGCACGGGCACCACGCTGTCGGCGAAGATCTCGGCGGGGCAGGCGCCGGCGTCGCCGTGTCGGATCGGCGCGGGCTGCAGCCCGTCGAGCTCGTACAGGGTGCTGTTGATGCTGGTGTAGGCGATGAAGTGGTAGACGTCGTCGTCGGCCGTCGCGAGGCGGGTCTCGTCGGAGACGAACGGCGAGGATCGCGCGAAGCTGTTGTGGGTCTCGCGGATCAGGTCGGAGTTGGAGAGGGCCTCGCCACGGATCTGGACATGGTCAGTGATCGGTTGGCATCTGTGCGAGGCATCCACGGAGGGTCACGAGTAGGGGTCCACATGCCTCGGAAGGGAACGCAGATGTGAATTCCTTGAATTCGCGCAGGTTGGGACCGATGTCGACACCTCCTTCATCCTGAGGGCCATCCTTGTTCAGCAGGACTGCGAGGAGCGCTTGTGTGCCGCATGCGTTCTGGATGGTCTGGGCAGCGAACCAGACCGGTCCATCACCATCCTGTGACGGTTCCAGGGCAGCATAATCGAATTCTCCGTCCAGAGGCGCATCCCGGGGCGTCTCGTCTGAAGGATACTTGAACAGGAAAATCACGCCGAGCGGGTTGAGTTCTTGCAGGGACTCGGGGTCCAGGGAGATGAGCTCGTCGAACTGAACATTCTTGACGCCGAGGGACTCGATGAGATATGTGAAGACGCCCTGAAGATTGAAGAAGGGTGATCAGTCATGGTTGGGACAGAAAGGAGGATGTAGGTGGTAATGGTAATGGTAACGGTGGTGGTAATGGTAATGGTAACGGTGGTGGTGGTGGTATGGTGGTGATGGTGGGAGGCAGACCTACGGCATCAGACTCGATCGTGTTCCAGCCGCCCGACATGATGGATGCCACGACGACCTTTGCGGGATTGGACGACGGCCGGAGTTGGGCGTGTTGATGAGACTCTTAGAGGGGATTGATGACAACCAATGGACAATAATGCTGATCGGGTGTGTGGTAGCTGGTTGCGATGTGATTCCTAAGCGCACGTGCATGCCAGGTTGAGGTCGATGTCTCTCGTTGATAATACTGCCCGGGTGGAATTCCAAGTCACCACGTGTGTGTGTGTGCGTGTGTGCGTGTGTGCCAGGGACCTGACGGTGGAGGAGACGATGATGGGTGATCCCGGGGCCCGCGTGTTAGTCCAGGACAAGACAAAACAGGACAGGACAGGACAGGACAGGACAGGACAGGACAGTAGAGTAGAGCAGTATCCCAGGGATCTCTCTCCGACTCCGCGTGTTCGTTCGGCACTGACTACAGTAATAATAATCCAAGCTCACCAAACGAAACTCACCAAACAAAACTGCCCGTCACCGTCACCGTCCACCGCCACCAGGGAAATGGAAAATACGCGCTTTGCACGGGTGGTCTGTGAGATGAGCCACAGTACGTCATGATTACTAAACCAGCAGCTTTCTTCCATCTTTCTATCTATGCGACTCTGATGTGACTATACAGGTATATGTGTCTCATTTCGATTTGCATACCGATGCACAACACTGTGGATCCATCGTGAATGGACAGCATTATGTTAATCACATCAGATACATAAATCTGCATAACGAGAATGACATGAAAATTGTGCATGGCATGTATTGTGAGTATTGTGAGTGGTTGTGAGCATATCGATGGATGATGGATGATGGATGATGCGGTGTCTGTCGCATGCGGGAAAAGTAGCGCGGGTTGCCAACAATGAGAACCGGTTTGTTTGAGTCTGAGGCTGATGCTGAGCGCTCTCGTCGCTTTCGTCATTTCTGGCTGTGCGTGCGTGGGAGTGAGCCCCAGCTGTAGCTACTTCCTGGCTGCAGCTCTTCCGTCTCTTCCTGCTTCCGCCAGCCTTATCCATCCCGTGGTGACATACTTTTTGGTACTGCTCCGCTCTGCTCCTCCTCCTCGAGTACATTAATCTCTCAAATCCATCACCACCACTGATCCTCCCACAGACCTGCATCCCCCTCTCTCCATCACCCACCTTCCTCAATCTCGCTCATCCAACCCGACACAATGTCTTACGCCGACGCAGCTGCCAGCGGCCCGGCCCAGTCCGACGCCGACAAGGTGCCCGCGCCTGTGCCCGAGATCGCCCACGACGACAGCGACGTCCACTCCATCGACTCCCTGAACGACTCCCTCCACATCGTCGGCGGCGTCAACTCCATCCCCAGCTACGCCGACCAGCAGCGCGCCGAGGAGGAGGCCGCCGAGGCCCGCCGCGCCGTCGAGAAGACCGCCAACAAGGTCGGCCGCGAGGCGCAAGACTTCAAGGACCGCGCCGAGAGCTCCGCCAAGCAGCTCGGCAAGGACGCCGACCGGAACCTCTCCCAGGCCGCCGACAAGGCCGACAGGAACCTCTCCCAGGCCAAGGACAAGGCCGAGAAGGACATCTCCCAGGCCAAGGACGTCGCCGGCGAGAAATACGCCGAGGCCAAGGACGTCGCCAGCGAGAAGTACTCCCAGGCCAAGGACGTCGCCAGCAAGGAGTACTCCAAGGCGAAGAAGGAGCTGGGCGCCGGCGCCGACAAGGCCGAGGAGAAGGCCAAGAAGGCGGAGCAGTGGGCGGACAAGAACAAGGGCAACCCGGTCGTCGTGGGCAACGCCGTCGCCATCAGCGTGCTGGCCGGCTTCCTCGGCGTCGGCGCCTACCGCCTGCACAAGGCCGACGCTCTGACCTGGAAGGTCGCCGGCACCTGGGCCGGCGTGGTCGGGCTGTTCGCCGTCGGCGACTACTTCGTCTCGCAGTAAGTTTTTTGACGTCCCCAAACGAGGGGATTGGAGATTCCCGGAGCACGAGCCGCCCAGACGCTGACGTGATTGAAATCCCTCGCAGATACTTCTTCAAGCGATACCCTCCCAAATAGATGACGGAGCTCACCTTTTTTCATGTTTGGCCCGGCTGGACCTTGAGCCCCCCTCCCTCCCTCCCTCCCTCCACTCCCCCCTCTCTCCCCCATACACCAACTTCATCACATCGATCACGTCCGGAACAACGAAGGCGACGCCAGATGAGTCACGAAGGAAAAAGGAAAAAAAAAAACTTGCCAGAACAGTTTTTTTAAATTTAATTTGGCGCGACAAGAGCGCATGATTTCGACACGGGGGGATGGGGAGGATCTGACGCCGGCTCATTTTGTCTCTGTAAAATTAAAACGAGGAAACAGAAAATATCATTTGACTAATGTGCAACATCTCTCCCGGAGAGCCCCCAAAACAGCACGTGTCCGTATGTTGATGGAACCTCCCACATCCGCCCCGTGTGTGCACGAAGCCGTGCAGATCGTGTATATCATCAGGCATGAGATATCCCTCGCCGACGGGACTTCCCCATTCCTGCTCTCTCACCACATTTCTATCACGCACCGAAAAAGCTCCCTCGATGACTGCTCG